GTAACGAAATAATTTGGATATATCAACAAAGTTGAAATGGTAAATTGGCCACCATAACGATTACAAAAGCTGACGTTTCGAGCGTTAGCCCTTCGTCGGAGCGAATAGAGGAATTGTGGGTTGTGTGTGCTTTTAAAGGCAGAAAATGGAGCTACGTTATTGGTGGGAACATGGCAACGAGAAAAACAAGAATAAATTAGTGGAATGAAAAGCATCGAAACCAGTCGCTAGGCATTTTAATTTACCTAATCATTCTAAGCAACATATGGCAATCTGCGGTCTTTCCTTACACTTAGGTAGCACGGAAAGCCGTAAAAATCTTGAACAAAAGCTCATCTTTCAAACCGGCAGTCTAAATCCCACAGGGATCAACGAATGCTTTTCATACCACTAATTTATTCTTGTTTTTCTCGTTGCCATGTTCCCACCAATAACGTAGCTCCATTTTCTGCCTTTAAAAGCACACACAACCCACAATTCCTCTATTCGCTCCGACGAAGGGCTAACGCTCGAAACGTCAGCTTTTGTAATCGTTATGGTGGCCAATTTACCATTTCAACTTTGTTGATATATCCAAATTAGTTCCATGAGTTATTTAATTCGACTTCTAAGGAAAAACAGCCTAACAGCTTCTGTATAAATTTTGATATTTGAAAACTTTACTGAACAAGTCTGTCTCCCAATAACGGTCGCCTTAATCACTACCGGAGCACTGTCCGGTGTAAGATAGAATGATGTTAGATCTCATCGATAAAATAGGCTTTTTTCAACTCAACACATGTTTTACTAGATTCTAAATTTACCCCATTCATACGCTCAAATTATGTAAATGTATGCAATCGAGTCTATTTACCAATCTGATGAATTGCAAAATATCAAATCAAACCAGTGATTATAGCTTCTTACAATTTGGCTGCCCAGGGAGCGGATAAGAATTTTTTCCCCTTTCCTACTTTTGCAAGAGAAAAATTATCTTTCGCTGCACAAGACGGGCCAGAATATTTCCCAACTCCTACATCTGAATGAAGTATTTGACTTAATCTCTTATTTCTTACTATTGCAAATACAAAAAAGCATCGTCCACCACGCTGAAAGGGTTTGTAACAACAAGATCCATTCCCATTTCAATCTTGGTTGACCGCCTACTACAGTTCAGATTTTCATCCGCCTTCTTTGCACAGCAACTATCTCTAGAGTGAAAAGAAGACAAACCAACTAAGACACAAGTATTTCGACAAATAAAATAAAAACATGATATAGTTTGTTAAAATTGTTTTTGTCTTCTTCATCAAGCTTTGTTTTTGCTCTGTTGAATTGTGCAGCTTATGCCGGTGGCTAAGGAAGTCAATTATCTCAGTCCACTGTATCTGACGCTTCTAACATGTTAAGTAATGTTTGTAAAGTTACACGAAAAATCACAATTGGTATCCAATTCTTTTTCTTTTGTTCTAGATCTAGTACTACAGCTGTTTCCCTTTAAAAGATGATTAAACAAGTTTTTTTTACATTGAGAAGCCTCTAGACTGCATCGTTTCCATTCAGCTCAAGAGTGACATCATCCCCAATGAGAACAAATGGTGCCCAGTACTTTACTTCCCCGAACCTTTTGGACTCTTTCATGCGTTTCATGGCTTCATGAAGAGCTTCACTGACCCTCCTTCCTTTAACTAGCTCTTCATAGAAATGTTTCATGAACTGGAAAGTGGCCTCGTCATCAATTGCCCAGAGGGACACCAAAACGGAACGAGCCCCAGCACCTAAAAATGCTCGAGCGATGCCAACTACCCCCTCCGCTTTTATTTCTCCTTGAGCGCTATGACAGCAACTTAACACAACCAGTCTCGCCCGCAATTGAGCTTCCAATACATCCGCCATGGTTAATAAAAAGTCTTTTTCTTCAGGACGATGGGATTCCCGAGCAGGGTTTGGTGCCAAGGCAATTTCGCCTGTTTCCATTTTGCCATGTGCAGCGATGTGCACTAAAGCAACCGTGGAGAGTTGCTTCAAAACTTCACCTTTAGTAGCCTTTTCTCCGACGAGGGGAGCCGTGCCTAGGATTCTTCCAATCATTTCCACCTCTTTCTTTGCATATGGCAGCTGACACAACTTTATTCCCTTATAGAGAACTTCTTCGACGCACGGATCTCCCACAAGCAGCGCGCCGGTCTTGTTGTGGAAGTCAGTTGGACAATCAGTAAGTAATTTCAAAGTAGTCAAGGACGGAATAACCCTGATCCTTAGCAACTCAAACAGATGCTCTTGCTTTTGGTTCATCAATGCTGCATAAGGTACCAAACAAAGTGGACCTTCGGGAACGAGTATGAGGTCATTTCCATCAACCAGGTCAGCAACAGGAACAATGATGGCGTCATAAAAGCTTCTCAAGGTTTCCTTTGGTAGAACACTCCGAGAATCCCTGATAGGGGCTCTCTCAGTGGTCAATCCCGTTTCACGCGGTTCATCAAGCGAGCGATTTTCGATTTCAACGCCAGAGCATACACCAATCTCCACCAGAGCTTTCTGGCTTAACGTCCAAATGAAAGTTGTGGCGTCTCTTTCTGATTCATGGTCGCCAATCTCTTTTCTTCTCAAGGTGACCTCTTTATCCTTCCTTATAACCCAGAAAACAATTTTTTTTTTACTGAAGGCCATAAAAACTGTTGTCCCTGGAATGGATCTGGGATAGAAACCAGTTGACTTCACAGAGGAATGAGACCAAGAGTAAATTTCTTGAAACCCATATTTTGCCTCAATGAGATCTCTCAGGGCCTGTGCCCGTCCATCCTCCGCAACACGCAAGGAATCAACAACTCGACCCTGTCTTAAATGTAGACGCCACAGTCTAATGTATACATCATTATACGTATCACGGTAGCTAATTTTCCATTTGTCTTTAAGCTGGGGATGAGCCCTTATTTCATTCAACTTTGACAAACTGGAACTATAGTAGTCAAGGGCATTCAAAAAAGATCCTTGATCTTCAAAAACGTTACCAAGATTATTTAGTGATTGTGCAGTTCCAAATTTGTCCCCCACTTCTTTTGCAATTTGTAGGTGACGCTCATGGTACTCGATGGCCTTATGAAAATTGCGTAGCCTACGATAGGCGTGGCCAAGATTTCCATAGGCCCCTCCTTCTCCAGCTTTGTCCTCTACTTCTTTTGAAATTTGTAGATGACGCTCATGGTACTCGATGGCCATATAAAAATCGCCTAAGCTGTCATAAGCATTGCCAAGATTTCCATTGGCGGCTGCTTCTCCAGCTTTGTCCCCCAATTCTTTTGCAGTTTGTAGGTGACGCCCATGGTACCCGATGGCCTTATGAAATTCGCTTAAGCTATGATAGTCACTGCCAAGATTTCCATAGGCCCCTCCTTCCCCAGCTTTGTCCCCAACTTCTTCTGCAATTTGTAGGTGACGCTCATGGTACTCGATGGCCTTATGAAAATCGCCTAATCTATTATAGGCATTGCCAAGATTTCCATAAGCCGCTCCTTCTCCAGCTTTGTCGCCCACTTCTTTTGCGATTTGTAGGTCACGCTCATGGTAGTCGATGGCCTTATGAAAGTCGCCTAAGCTATTATAGGCATTGCCAAGGTTTCCATAGGCCCCTCCTTCTCCAGCTTTATCCCCCACCTCTTTTGCGATTTGTAGGTCACGCTCATGGTAGTCGATGGCCTTATAAAAATCGCCTAAGCTATGATAGGCATTGCCAAGACTTCCATAGGCTCCCCCTTCTCCAGCTTTGTCCCCTACTTCTTTTGCAATTTGTAGTTCACGCTCATGGTAGTCGATGGCCTTATGAAAATCGCCTAAGCTATGATAGTCACTGCCAAGACCTCCATAGGCCCCTCCTTCTCCAGCTTTGTCCCCCACTTGTTTTGCAATGTGTAGGTGACGCTCATGGTAGACGATTGCCTTTTGAAAGTCGCCCAAGCTATGATAGTCACTGCCAAGACCTCCATAGGCCCCTCCTTCTCCAGCTTTGTCCCCCACTTCTTTTGAAATTTGTAGGTAGCGCTCATGGCAGTCGATGGCCTTATGAAAATCGCTAAAGCTATGATAGGTATAGCCAAGATTTCCAAAGGCCCGTCCTTCTCCAGCTTTGTCCCCCATTTCTTTCGCAATTTGTAGGTGACGCTCATGGTAGTCGATGGCCTTATGAAAATTGCTTAAGCTATCATAGGCATTGCCAAGACTTCCATAGGCCAGTCCTTCTCCAGCTTTGTCCCCCACTTCTTTTGCAATTTGTAGGTGACGCTCATGGTACTCGATGGCCTTATGAAAATCACCTAAGCTATTATAGGCATTGCCAAGATTTCCATAGGCCCGTCCTTCTTCAGCTTTATCCCCCACTTCTTTTGCAATTTGAAGGTCACGTTCATGATGGTCGATGGCCTTATGAAAATCGCCTAACCTATGATAGGCATTGCCAAGATTTCCATAGGCCCCTCCTTCTCCAGCTTTGTGTCCCACTTCTTTTGCAATTTGTAGGTCACGCTCATGGTAGTTAATGGCCTTATGAAAATCGCCTAAGCCATGATAGGCATTGCCAAGATTTCCATAGGCCCCTCCTTCTCCAGCTTTGTCTCCAACTTCTTTTGCAATTTTTAAGTGACACTCATGGTACTCGACGGCCTTATGAAAATCGCCTAAGCTATGATAGGCACTCCCAAGACTTCCATAGGCCCGTCCTTCTCCGGCCTTGTCTGCCACTTCTTTTGCAATTCGTAGGTCACGCTCATGGTAGTCAATGGCGTTATGAAAATCGCCTAGCCTATGATAGGCACTGCCAAGATTTCCATAGGCATGTCCTTCTCCAGCTCTGGCCCCCACTTCTTTTGCGATTTGTAGGTGACGCTCATGGTGGTCGATAGCCTTATGAAAATCGCCTAAGCTATGATAGTCATTGCCAAGATTTCCGCAGGCCAATCCTTCTCCAGCTTTGTCCCCAACCTCTTTTGCAATTTGTTGGTGACGCTCATGGTACTCGATGGCCTTATGAAAATCGCCTAAGCTATTGTAAGCATTGCCAAGATTTCCATAAGCACGTCCTTTTCCAGCTTTGTCCCTCATTTCCTTTGCAATATGTAGGTCACGCTCGTGGTAGTCGATGGCCTTTTTAAAATCGCCTAAGCTATCATAGACATTGCCAAGTCTTCCATAGGCCCGTCCTTCTTCAGCTTTGTCCCCCACTTCTTTTGCAATTTGTTGGTGACGCTCATGATACTCTTTGGCCCTAGAAAAATCGCCTAGACCATGATAGGCATTACCAAGATTTCCGTAAGCTCCTCCTTCTCCAGCTTTGTCTCCTACTTTTTTTGCAATTTGAAGGTCACGCTTATGGTAGTCGATGGCCCTATGAAAATCGCCTAAGCAATGATAAGCAATGCCAAGATTTCCATAGGCCCGTCCTTCTCCAGCTTTGTCCCTCATTTCTTTTGCAATTTGTAGGTCACGCTCGTGGTAGTCGATGGCCTTCTTAAAATCGCCTAAGCTATGATAGGCACAGCCAAGATCTCCATAGGCCCCTCCTTCACCAGCTTTGTCCTCCATTTCTTTTGAAATTTGTAGCTGACGCTCGTGGTGCTCGATGGTTTTGCCATGATTTCCACGAGTCTGCTCCTGGCTAGCTTTGAGTTTTGGCCTCAAGCCTTTTGCATTTTGCGAATTGTCCACTACCCTCGAAAAAAGAAAAATAGGAAGTTTTTTCAGGGATTCTAAACGCCACAGAAAGTTCCTACCAATGACCCTTTTAAAAAAAAATAGGTTTGCATTTTCCTTTTTTCTTAGAGGCTCTTTCAAAATATTCTTTTCATCAAATAAAATAATGTTCTAAGTAAACAAAACGGCTTATTGGGTCGGAAAGCTAACAAATGTGTTTTTGGCTCACGCTTCAGTCCCCAAAACTACTTAAGACTGCCCTATTTAGGATATTCCCCTCTCCAATTTGTCTTACTTCATGCCTTATTATCGGCCGTAAAGAGTTCCGCATAGGAGATGGGTATTGAGGTGAGACATTACATTTGAATCGTTTTTTGAGAGTTTGAGGGCCAGTCATGGCCAATGTTTTGATCCCCGCCCCCTTTTACAGAGAATGATATCCTAAAGAAGCATGTCTCAGCATTCTTCTTAGAACCGACGGCCGGAAATAAGTTTGAAAGATGAAAGCAATAGAGGGCGGCCAGGTAATCGTTACGCCATATTGTTTCGTAAGACCGGGATCTATTCAGTTTCCCAGGCCTACCTCGGAATTCTGCACGAACCTTAACGCAACATCTGAACTGGGAATAGGTTCATAAAGCGTATACCCCATTCACCTTAGAAAAAAACATGTTCAACCAAATTTTACTGCATCTAACTCGTTACATACATACAAACATAGAAGATTTAAATCAATACATTAGATATAAAATCCAAAATATTAAATAGCAACTGTAGAGCAGGAGACAGTACTATGTTCCAATTGATGTCCAGTCCCAGTAAAAGGAAATGTCAAATAAAATAAACAGCTAATAAAAAGACCAGTATTTTAGATAGAAATAAGTTCAAATGTATAGCCACACTTGCGTTATTATCCTACACTGTACACCCTGCTACTTGGAAGATTAGAAAACATAGCTTTTAAATCACAAAGGGCTAAAAGCCTGCGATTCAAACTGGTTATAAAATAAGTTCAAATTTACGTCCGTTGGCCATTATTTTCAAGCGAGGATAGCAATATTATATACGGAATATATCCAATATCTTTGTTTTGCATTAGTTAAGTTTATGGCCAAGTTCTACGAAGCCTGCTTTAGCTTTAGGAGTGAGAGCCAAGTCTCTGAGTTCCCTTCTATATTCTAGTTATGGTTACAGAGAAATTTTACGTTGCAGATGCTTGAAGGGAATATCCCTCGGATAATTTAAACTTAACTTCGTTTAAACCGTGTTTATCTGAGTTTAATTCAGAAGCAGAGAACTGAAAACCTTAATTCTCCATAGTATTAAAGTTGTGCGACATTTGAAGTCGACAAACATCGGTGTAAGCAGCTTTTATCAAGAAAAATATCTTTTGCATCTGAGAAAACAGCTTTAAAACATGTTTGAGCTTTGTTGTGAAAGGGGTATAAACCTGACACTGGCTAGTGATGCATATAGTTCCACATCATCACTCTGAACAAAATGAACTGAAAGTGTCTACCTAGCTTAAGAAGGCAGAGTAGCCCGCAATTAATTTGGTCAGCTAGGTTCTAAATGGACAGCTCGATCCGTTAACCATGCAATATTTGCAGCATGATTAAACCTGTTTTCTCTCCATCTCCATATCGTTGTAACTTATTTCATTTTCAAACAATATTAAGGCCATGAACGTTATTTACAGTCAACTTTCAGATATGTAGCTCTACTACCAACAGCAGAGAGAAAAGACCTCACTGTCATTGTGTGCTACTGTACATGTTTATATTCAAACCTGGAGAGATGTCTTGTTCACGATCTTGATTTTCTTTGGTTTGAGGGACCACCGTGATAGCTGAAGAAGAACACAAAGGAAAGACGGTGTTATTAGTCATCCCTGCAGTGATGAGTTCATTTTCCAAATTTATCAAAACTCTGGTCAAACAATCAAACACCACATTAAAAAAGAAAACAATTAGCCACAAAAAAATGAAACAAATTGGAGGTTAGGTCAAATGCACACCTTATTCTCTAATATATAAGCTTCATTCCGTGACAATCAATGCTTTACATGACAACCTTACGTTCAAAGTAAGGAATTTAGCTGCGGCTTAGTTGCATAGACGTAAGTATAGAAGGGGAAAATTTCCAACTGAAGAGCGAGTACAGAGAGAATTTCCCTTCAAGTAATGAAAGCTACGGAAGTTTCACTCAGCGACCGTTGATTACAGTTATTGGTGCCTATTACTATCACGGTAAACATTAGCGAAACAAATCAAAATCAAGGTTAATATGTTCCGTATGACAAACACCGGGTTAGTAGTCAGGAACCAATCAGAACGCTCAGATTTACCTTCGGACTACCTTGCCATATAACAATTATACGATCTATGGGTGTTACCTCGCCGTTCAACATACTTACCGGCTGACATGTCCCAATCAAAATCTGAAACGACATGAGCAGATCTTTCCTGACTTTCCATTGGGTCTGTAATGAAAATTAACAACTAAATAAATGTATACAGATGCTACATAAATATAATGATAATGTGTGATAGGCAGAAAAAAACAACTACATATACATCCCGGAATGTATATGTAGTTGTTTTTTTCTGCCTACCACACATTATACCCGCTCTACTATTTGTATAGAGCACTGTTTCACGGACACCAAGTTTAATCTCTCTAAATATAATGATATTTATTAAAAACTGGATCATTGGATAATTCAGTTCAAAACTTTTTATATTGGCTTAGCCATTATGGTATATCAACCAATTTACCATAATCTACAAATATGGTAAGCGTACGCGTCAGCTTAAAATCAAAAGGGAGCTAAAAAATCCGGTCTCTTCTCACAAAATAATAATTTCTTGAGGGCGTTTTTAATAAAACAATTATTCCACTCGCGGTTGTTGGCTTTGAGATGATTATAGCCAACGAGGCGCGAAGCGCCTCGTTGGCTATCTATCATCTCATATCCAACAAGCGCGAGTGGAATAATTGTTAAATAGATAACCAAGTGAATAACTAGTTATAAATTAAAATACTTTTGTTTGGTTGCACAGTTCATCTGATCGGAGAAATAAATATTGTGTATTTGCTTTGATAGATAGCCTAATTTCACTGTGAATAATGTTCCTTACCCATGCTTAAGTCTACAAAACTAAGAAAAAAAAATTATGTGTTCAGCATACTCCTCTCCCAACTTGTCCAAGCTTATGCCTCAAAATCCGACTGTTATTATGTATTTCTTTGTATTTTTAAATGATTCTTTTTGCTATTCTGATCACCTGCTTTGGGCATAAGATAGGGATATTAGAGGGAGGCATTACATTTAAGTCGCCAATGAGAGTTTGGGGTTCAGTCATAACTTATGTTTTGTTCCTCTTCCTCTCACAGAACGCTAAAACCTACACAAGCATATCCCAACATAAGTCTAAGATCCGAGGGTCATAATAAGAAATAGATGGCGGCCTGGTCGTTGTGGATGCAATTTTGTTTCATGATTTACACGTAAGACTGGGAACTATTCAGTTTCCCAGGGGGGTTCCTTGGTGTTTTGCTCAAACCTTATCGCAACTCCATAACCCTTTCACTCTCAAGATCTCCTTAGTAATTCTCCTTACTGCCTGCCATACAACTCTTGTGAGGTTAGTTTGAAGAATTCGATATTGGATCAACTTATAATCCCCTTACCGATTTTTTTTCTTTATTTTCATCTCTTTTCTGTTTGATATTTGGTACAAGTACAGGAATGAGCAATAAGGGCACACGTCAGTCAAAGACAGAAATGTACGAAGAACTTCTCGCTTGTTCTAGGCTTCCGACTCTATGCTAAAGAAGTCTAAAAGATACTATCATTCTGATATATAAAGTTAAAAACAATCTAATTCCAAGCTTCGTCTCATGACTATTCAAAACTAAGAACTCTCAACACTGCCTCAGAAACTGGGGCTTTTAAATACTTCGTTTAAACACGTGGTACGGGAAAAGTTGGTGATTTTTCCATGTGTTCGTTTAAACACATTTATTTGTTGTTTTCGTTATTCTAGCGTTCTCAATTCATACAAGTTTCTTCGTTTTAGTGATTCAAAAAATGTAGAAAAGCCTCAGTAGTTTTTGGAAATAGATTTTGCATTGTTACCTTTTCTTCATTTGTAGCTGCCTATGGGTACTTTTCTTATTCAATTCTAGTGAAATTTTAGGTAAATAAAAGTGTTAATGATCTTTTTGGCAAAATTAGTTTTCATGGTAGCTGGCTGCTGAGTTTATACTCGTAACTTCAATTTCCTTCCTTACGATCAAACTCAACACCAACCTTGCCTAGATAAGTAGAAACTTTTAATTGCATATTTCATTTCATTTTGTAAGCTGCTCTGTTGTAATTACCATGGGTATATTTTTAATATCAAAGCTGTGAATTCTCACCTAAGGCTTCTATTTTTATGATGGTATAAAGTTTACTAAACCTGCTCTTTCATTTTTGGCATATGGATATTTCAATGTAAATCATTTAGCTCAGAGAAGTTTACCGTTCTTTTGTAATTCTTGTTGAAATATTGTCAATTAAGGGAACAATGGAACCACGCGCTTGGTAGTAGTTAAGCAACTACATTTTAAAGCGTTGTTGATTACATCTGGGATTGAATACGCTAGAGGTCATGTCAGTTGTTGGTTTGACTTAAATTAAAAGTTTACCGTAGAACCAAAAGATTGTCTTGTCCTTGACGTCCCTAAAAGCTCACTTGAAGAGGTCACCTGTACCAGGGAATCGTGACGAGTTCCCGTTCTCGCTGCCGAGTCGTCTCTACTAAGCTAGGTCCTCGCGTTATTGTTGTGCCGTTCGCGAGAATTCAGTTCGGCGAAGATAGCCGTATAATGAAAGGAATGTAATAAGTACCTTTGTTTGGCATGAGGTAAGTTTTCAGCCAAGTTCTACGAAGCCTGTTCTAGCTTTATAAATGAGAACCAAGTCTTTCAATACCTTCAATATTCTAGTGGTACTGAACAGAGAAAGTTTACGTTGCCGATCCACGTGGGGCATATCACTAAGAGGATTTAAAACAAACTCCGTTTAAACCGGGTTTAACTGAAATAAAATCCCAAACAGAGAACTGAAAAACCGTATTTTCCGTAGGATTCAAGATGTGCGACATTTGAAGACAATAAACATCGATTTAAGCAGCATCTATCAAGAAAAATATTTAAACCGTATTTGACAAAACAGCTTTAAAACAAGTTTAAGCTTTGTTGTGAATGGGGTATAACCTGACACCGGCTAATGAAGCAATTAGTTCCACATCATCGCGCTAAACAATTTGGGCTGAAAGTGACTGCCTAGCTTAAGATCACAAAGTGGCCCGCAATCAATCTGGTCAGCTAGGATCTCGACTGACAGCTCGATCTGTAAACCATGCAATATTTGCAGCATGATTAACCTTCTTTACTCTCAATCTCTAGGTCGCTGTAACTTATTTCATTTTCAAACAATATCTGAGCTTAAGGCCACTGGGGATCGCTATTTACAGTCAGCTTGGAGATATGAAGCTCTATTCCCAGCCGCAGATAGAAAAGATTTCATTGTAAGTTTGTGTTCATGTTCATGTTTATATTCAAACCTGAAGAGATGTCTTGTTCTCGATCTTGATCTCTTTTTCTTTTATGGCTCCCCATAGCTGAAAAAAAGAGCACGAAGGAAAGTATTATTAGTCTATTAGTCATTCCCGAGTGCTGCAGCGATGAGTTCATTTTCCAAATTCATCAAAGTCTAAGTTAAACAATCAAACGCCACAATACAAAAGAACTGAAAAGATAAAAATCGGAGGTAGTGTCAAATGTCCTTGCACACCTTATTCCGTAAGAAGCTTAATGATAATGCTTTAAATGACAATCTTACGTCCAAATTTAAAACTTTAGCCGCGGTTCACTTGCATAGACGTAAGTATGGAATGGGACCCTTCCCGGCTGAAAGCGGGGGCAGAGGGAGCAGTGGCGGATCTAGGGGGAGGGTTCGGGGGGTCCAGACCCCCCCCCCCTGACGCTTACAACTTTGAGACTGAAATTCTTATATCCGCAGGATCCTATATCACTTTTTAACTGGCTGATTTTTTAAATTAATGAATTCAAGTAAACGGTAAGCGGCCAAGGAATTATAACGTGCAACCGCGACTGGTGGGAGGGGGTGTGGGGGGTGTGGGGGAGAAGTAATTTGCTTCAAAAGAGTCCAACAGTCCTATCTGAACCAAAGTTTGAACCCCCCCCTCCCAATCAAAGATTCCCAGATCCGCCCCTGGGGAGTTTTCCCTTCAGTGAGTGAAAGTGAGAATGAAAATGAAACTCATGACTTGGCAGATTTCACACAAGATAAGGGATGCCCTCTCGATGGCAGTGATTGTGGAGTCATTTGATTAAAGTTATTGGTGCCCATTGCTATTGCAGTAAACACTGGCGAAATAATTTTGAAAGAAAGTTAATTTATAAACCCTTCCATAGGGTAAATGTGTTTTTACAAACGGGTAAATGTGTTTTAACATGCGGGAAAATTAATTAACAGCATCCATCCACACAACGGTAAAACTCACACTTACCTTCGTTAGCTAAGATGAACAGGCGACAAGCGAGAGACAAAAGCGATAGATTTGAGAGGATAAAACAACCAACGGAAATGTTACAGCAGCTTTATCAATGTAAGAGCGATCAATTTTGCTTATTGAGAACACGTCACACTTCGCTTGTTTAACTTTGAACTGAATGGTTCACATGCATAGCGAGCTCCTCGGGCGAATTTTTCACGAGCACATCTTTTCCAAAGGTTTGGCCAACACTTCAAGCGCTCTGAAATTTCTCAAAGAAATTCCTGAGAAAACGAGAGCTGACAACCTCGCGCTCGAAAGTTTATCCAACCTCCTGAACCCTTATGTTATCTTTAGACTCGAATAAAATTGAACTTGTTTCGAGTAGATTTTCGAGTAGTTTGTTTGTCTTGTAAATTTAAATTTAAAGTTGTCGTTTCTTTATTGAGAGATCTTGCTTCGCTTTTTACATCTAATGCCATTACATTTGGCTGTATTTACTGTGGTAGTTATACTGAAGCAGGTTGTATGGAACATCTCTGTGACTGAGGATACCGCACACAACCATTATCGTGAAAAGCTTGAAACCATTGTATTTAGTCCTACCTGAGAAACAGAGGTGAGGATTCAACCGATCTGACACCCGAATCTCCTGAGAAAATTCACTCTCAACTAGAGTTCCTTTCCTTTCGGTTGAAGTATAAAACTAAATGATTTGTAGATAACTGTAGAGCACTTTTACCAACCATAAATTCGACAAGACGAAAGGTGGAAGACGGACAGACGTCAATGATTTGAATATGCAGTCATAACATTCGTCACGTGACTTCGACAACGGAATCAAATTTCCTAGCTGTCACGCGATCATTCATTTCTGTACCGTTACATTCCTCTGACCCCAATATCTATTCAGTGGGTAAAATTCGATTCATCTGTTTATCTTGGATAGATCGAGGTCATTTTCAAGATTGTTCGTAGATAAGTTAAACAGACAAATCTCTCAGTCTTAGAGCGGACAAGCAAGGGACCGGGGGCGGGGGATAATCGGTGGTGACGATTTATATCGCTTGGTCTTAGAGCAGCTCTTTTGCTCATTTCCATCAACCGAGAGCGTGACAAAGCTATAGTCAGCTCCCCTCTCCCCACCCATAGAAAATAAATGGAACATTCAGGGTAATCCTGCGCTTTTTTTCTGTTTTTAAAAAGTTGCACCTTGATTGCATGTTGAACGCTTGCGGCCTCATACAGCGAGCTCCCACAACTATACAAATATGATTATAGGTAACTTTATTTCAACTCGGGTTGTTGAGGCTGATTAGGCGCCTAGCAATACATGCTAATATGCCGAGCAACACCCACCCATCCCACCCCAAGGGAGGACATCCACCACACAGTAATCTCGTAAGTAGGAGATTAACGTCTTCCCTGCTGGAGACGGAGCCTACGGCTTATTCGTCCTTATCCAAGAAGACTCGAATATCTGTCCATTTCTTGATATTATAGAAAGGTAGCAAATTTCCTCTCTTATTTTAAGACCACGAGTATTGGTCCCGCCAGGGCTCGAAACCTCGACCTCCCGCACAACACAGGGGCGGTCAAGATGTAGGCCCGACTTGGTATCATATGTCAAACCTGACGTGATTTAGATATACAACTAATAATTATAGGAAAAATATGAAGATTTTTCGCTCGAAGTAGCTTTGAATAGAAACAACGTTAACTCTAACTCGCTTCTATAGCGTCTGTTTGTTTGTTTGAAGAGTGAGACGGTTTTTCTTGGCTGATTTACAGCCGTAAAGCTAGTTCCCACACAGTCCCCTCTCATGCGGCTAGTCGGCCGCAAAGCAGCCTTGAAAATCCGAAAAAAAGGGAAAAAGGTAAAGTTAACTTTATTGCATTAAAACGGAGTCAACCATTGGAGTTAAGAGTGCAACTTTTCCTTCTGATAAAAATCCTTTGAGTTCCACGACACACTATCGGATACTACAGATTAAAAGCCCCTGGACTCCAACAATTTCGTATTAAGGGTTTTGAGAGGGCGCCTATATCCGAGGGGGCTGATAACCGGAATAGAAAATCTACAACAGTTTTGTTCAAAATAAGTTTTAAATTTCAGCCTGGCTCTAAATTTTTACTTCAAAACGTCATACCGAACTGCAATTCATTTCTGTAAGTAAACTTCGAAGAGAATTTACGATTTCTTCTCAGCACAGCAAACTAGCACATAACAAAACAGTAGTTCAGACTTTTCCCTCGTAGTTCGTCTGTTGTTTAAATTTTCATACCTAATTCACAGCAGTTAGGCTTCTCCTGCTTTGTTTAATACAAAATCAAGAAAAACCAGAGGGGGGCATAATTATATCCAGGTGATCTTTTATCAGATGTATTTTCTTGTTTACAGGTGGGAGGCCCTGTAACAGGCAGGGGGTTGAAGGCTTATAAGCAGCGGGTCATGTCATCTACAAAGCTTGGGCTTCCTGTGGTGGCCTGGGTGCAAGTCGGGTAATACATTTCTTTCTGTTACATGAACCACTTACAGTGAAGTGAACTAAGCATGTTTTGAATTTTTTCATATCATCTTTCCAAAGACTCAGCAAAGAAAGCCACAATAAGAAATAACAAATAATTATCAGTGTCAAACATTGGAACTGTTACTTGAACATCTCAGCTAGACAGATATCAAAACTTGTGAATTTCAGATGACAACCAAGTGATATGATTAGAATGCACAAGCCACCAAAATAAGATGAAACTTGACTTTTTCATGATTGCATACCCAGTATTCTTTTTAATGACTGATCCTTCTGTATTAGGAAGTTGTACATGAGGTCAGTAGTGCTCATTTACTTAATATTTCCTATAATTTGCTCTTATAATTATCATCAATTGTAAATTTTAGCTTTTCCAAATGCATTAAAAAGAAAACAAAGAGCAACAAAACTGAGGTTAATAAAGAACTAAATGTTGTTGGCAGGGATTTCCGTTACATTCTTGTATGAAGTTTGCAAAGTCCTTAATTAATCCTTATCCCAGACAATCAGTGAGTAGGTTCCCTGTGACATATTCTGTCTCTGAACTTGATTGCAACTGGTGCAGTTATTCTCTTATCTCATGCCTCTACAATTTGGTTTTCTTTGCCTATAAAAAAAGACAATTATACAAGTCAAATGAATGGATGGATAGATGGGTGGATGGATGGATGGGTTAGATGACCACTCCCATTGGGGCTTTTCAGGGCCATTCTTTACAACACTGTGCGGGGGACTTTGCCAGACTGCTTGTAGCAGTTTACAACAAATCAAAGGAAGTTGAAGATGCCCCCTCCCCCCCCAATCCCCAGTAAACAGGCCAGACCACATCACAGTAATCTCATGAGTGGGTTCTTTAACGTCCCCTGCCTAACCTAATTAACCAATAGATGCAGGAGACGGAATCTACGGTTTATTCGTCCTTATCCCAGAAGACTAGAATGTCTATCCATTTCATGATATGATAGAGAGGTAGCACATTCTCCTCAGTTATTTTAAGACCTTGAGTATTGGTCTAGCCAGGGCTCGAACTCTCAACCTCTTACCCAAAAGTCCGGGCGCTCTAACCAATTGAGCTAACCAGGAGGTGGTTAAAAACTTCAGACAGATTAAAGCTTAAAATGATATATAACTACTTGTTATTTATAAGAATCCCGATTTTACTAAAATCTTCCTAGCCTACACACACCAGGTTTTCTATCATTTGGACAATAAAATTCCTGTAACCCTCAAACCCACCTAATTTCTCCTTAAAATATCATCCCTGAATCAGAAATTAAGGTAACAATATAATAGAGAAAATAATCACTAACTAAAGAAACTTATGATTGTTTAAAAGATTCTCCTTGTCAGCACCTTAGGAAATGTAAAAAGAACAGTATGGAGAATAAGAAAACTGATGATAGGGTGTAAAGGGTTAAGGTAATAAGAATAGAAAAAATGATCACAAACTAAAGAAGCTTGTGATTGTCAAACAAATTCTTCTTGTCACTATTATAAGAAATGTAAAGATAACAGTGTGGAGAATATCAATATCAATATTAGGGTGAAAAGGGTTTAGTGCTCAAGACAAACCACACAAAGCAGAAAATTTTATACGCATTATGATATAATTTAGACACAATGCACACTCTGATTGGTCAAAAATCTGTTCTCTATTTGCCTGTATACTCAAAGAAACTGAAACATCTTCCTGTCCTGTCAAATGGCACCCCACCAGGCGAATTCCAATATTTAATTCATTCGAAGCCTTTGGTTTGGAGTAAACAAAGAAGACCCTTTGAATGCCAAAAACTACCAACTAAGAAACATTTCTTTTCTCGCAAGTTAACAAACTGGTTTCTCCTGCGTTTCACTCCTTTATTTTAGGATCTCTGGTTTATGCAAACAAACTTTGGAACTTCCTGTCTACATTCCTCAAACTTTTGCCAAGAAAGACAAGTTGGCATGTTTTTGCTTCAAAAAAATTGTAGTGACAAACTAACTGGATTTTCCTTTAGATATTTACAAAAAATCTTATTTTCTGATGAGAAAAAAATCACTTGCAAAGTGAATTTGCCTCAACATTTATCACAGTTCCGTTTACTGTCCAATATTTCAGCTTTGGCTAAGTTTAAGCTTTTTAAGCTCTTTAATCTGTACATTTCAACAAGGTACAATCACAGCAGTATAGATTACAAATTTGAATGCAAATATACCAAAACCGTCTTCTTTTTTATCACCCCACTCCCTGACAGGACACTTGTGCCCCTGCCAACTACCTTGCTAGGATTATAAGTAAAGTTTGGGGTTGCAGATCTAGCCAAGCTGATTAAACACAGAAAGAAGGGAGAAAAGAGATCCTGATCAGTCTACCAGGAAACTTACTGCTTGTCTTATACAGACTTTAAGGGCTTGAAACTCCTTCTCACAGGCATGTTTGGTAATGTTGTCTTTCTGTGACACACACCTTCCATAAAGAAGGGCCTGAAGAAAAACAAATAATAACCATCAGGAAAAAAGGATATCTGAAATGACTTGACGAAAACTTCTTGGTTGAGTGTCAATACAGTCCCAGGTATATTCTGAGCACAGTTACTAAAGAACAAACTGTGCAGTTTTCAGTTGAATGAGTTTAAACTCTCAGATCTTAGGATTGAAAGGGTCCAAATTTCCAGGAGTTGGCTGAGAGAAGACAAGTTGGGACAAATCTGAACACTATAATGATTTTTTTTTTTTACTTAATATAGACACGTACCACTGTTTATAAATTGGATTGAGTCAAAAACGATGAGTCAGCAACCTTGGTCTGTGTTTGGTTGAAAATATTCACACCACCTAATCAACCAATCAGAGACAAAACAGCATGAATTTGTTGCTAGTATTTTGCAGTGGCCTCAATTACTTTTGACATCTTTGCTTCTGTTTTCTTTTTCTAGTTACTTACAACACCACACATTATACTTACAATGCACCAGCTATCCAACTTTTATAATATACCACTCATGATCAATAACTACCAATATATTGTTTACAATACTATATACCTACAAGAACTACTTAACTTTGCTGCAAATTGAAATAATGTTATTTGAAATAAAATTGCTTTTATTTTACTGATGTCAGCATTAGTCTACTTTAATTACTTTTCAATAAATATAAAAACTTCCCTTTACACTGTCAGAGAGTTTGTAACATATTGTGAATGAAAGAAACAACAAGGATAAAAAGTATTCAAATTCTACTTTTTTTATAATCATCATCCAGTTAGAGTGAAAAGCACAGGCCAGAAATCTAGAAATGTAGATTTCAATCAAACTTCAAACTTTAATCCCTATCTCCCATAGCTATACATTCTTTTACCACCAGAATGCTTGATCACAAGAAAATACAGTGATGAAGATGGGATATGCTGTTTTTATTATGTTATTATTAATATATAAGTACCTCTAAGGTGTAGGCACTCTTCTTGCTAACAAAAGGTATGGCTTGTCATAGCCTGGGTACCCATTGGGTTGTTATCCATTATATATTGAGCAGATGGCACTAGTATTGCCCATTTTGATTTCAGACATTGCATTGAAGTTCTATGCAGGGAAGACTATGTTGATAAGCTCAAGAAAACACCAGCATCATTGGTTTGAAATAGAAAAATAAAAGAGAAAGAAAAAACTGCAAATTATGTGGTTAGTGGGCATCACAGTCCCAGTGGTACTTTTAATTCATTTCTTATAATTTCCTTCTATTTTCAAGTAGGTCACTTAAGGGGCAAATTTTTTTTTTTTTTTTTTTTTTACTTAAGGGGGCAAAATTGCACCCTTTACTTGATTTGAAAGAAGCAGAAGACATTTACTGAACAATTAGGTCACTCTCTGTAATCCAACAGAGCAGGAGCAAACAAATACTCCCAGAGATCACACCACCATAGTGCTTTAACAGTTGACATGTGGGTGATCTTTGGCGGCACTTTTATCGCACCTCTATCACACTGCGATCATTTGATAAGCTGTCATCACAGAGAAACAGTCATGACTTTCACTACACTATTTTTTTATTTCAGTAGTGAACCAAAGAATTCATTGTACACCTAATTAATTAATTAATTAATTTAATAATTATGAGTTGCATTATGTTGTTGTTTAATCGAAACAATAAAAATAAAGAAAAAACAATAAATAAGAAAACCAAACCCAAAGATTAGTTCGTCCTGAAGAGTTCATTTCAAGTAGTAACTACAGGTAATCACCACTTGGCCGAGAGGAGAAACATATGTAAACCCTTGGCATTATGTAAGCTTGATTAAAAATAAACAAACCGAACGATTAACCTCACGTGGCTTCGATTTATTTATAACTTCTTTCATCCTAGGCTTCAAATAACTTTCCTGTTGGGCAATTTTGCCACAGTTACGATTTCCACGTGCAATGCTCCGGAAAAGATATGTAGGTATAAAATGGAACAGTACCCAGTTACAACACATAGCGGCTACATGTACCAACATTTCATTATCAGGTCTTCAACAATTATCTTTAACATTACTTTGTTCAGTTTTGTTACATATATCGTACTTACTTGTGTTAACTACTAGTACTACTGAAGCGAAGTGAACACAATGTATCGAGTTAAATCTAACCTCTGTCTTGCATTCCGCAAGAGGCCTCGCCAAGCCCGAGATTCGTCTGTAATCGTTTCCTCTTGAGCTCATTATGTCAGGTGTTTATTTTCGTTTTAGTACGTCCGCCATTTTTGAAAGCGCGCAATATATTCTGGGATAATATGCGGTTGAGCCTGGATGGGAGCAACAAAGCGGAAGTAAAGTAGGTTAAAACCGGAAGTTCTAATTTATTTAATGATATACTCACTAGCAGACAAACAGACCATAACAGCTTACGTACTGTAACACGTTTTCATAATTCTGCGAAATGTAAAATCTTGGAAACTTAAAAGTGAAGAATCTAGGTAATGATAATTTTTATTGGCTCTGTTTGGTAGAATTTTTGTCAGTTGTCAATTAGTTGCGAAATTTATTCTTCTCACAGCAGGATTTCGCCTGCCCTGAAGCGAAACCGCAGAACCTGAAAGAACCCTGAAACGAGGAACTTTCTTTAATGGAATGGGCCACAGAACACCTGCCACGATTGCAGTAAACTTGGTGTTAAATGCTCGAGTAGCGCAAAACATTTCAACCTCAGTTTTGTTCCCTGTTGTTGAATTTATCAACCACTCGTCACAATATCGCGACATCGATATCTGTTTTTATTAAGCCCGTCCTTGTATTGGCCATAAGGAGCAAACTCCGCCCTTTCCATCTATTTCTGGAAATAACGCATCCTTGCCGCGGCCGGATTTTCACAACCATCTTAAAAAAATTTCTGCGGCTATCGTTATTGTCTTTGCATTTCCGCCTCTTGGAGCCATTGTCTAGATATTAGCCTTATATTATGCACGTTTTTGTATTCGTTAAAAACACCAACATTCGTAAACAACGATTTGAGCACTGAAGGCGATTTCAGTTTTCATCCGATTTCAGTTTATCGTTCCGCGAGGATTTTAAATTCAACTTCGTTTCTAAGCTGGTGTAATTCGCTAAGGAAGAGCGGACTTCATCTAGAATTTTCTAAAAGATTTCGATCAGCATGTGTGTGCGACATAAAGTACAGTTGTTCGTGATTTTGTCTGTTTTTGTACATCAAAGTGTTTGTGTATGGCCTTGGCCAAATTGGGGCGATAAACCAAAACCCATTGACGGAAACTGGAGTGCTTGGTCTGCGTGGAGTTCTTGCCAAATCCCATCGGATGGCAATTTGCTGCCATTTCGACACAAAGAAAGAGATTGCACTAACCCCAGACCGAAAAATGACGGTGCCGATTGCATAGGCGAAGCGAAACGTACCTCGGGTTGCGACGATTGTAGTATTCCTCTTGGCATGGAGAGTGGTCGAATACACGATTCGTTTGTGACGGCTTTGGACTCGCACGACGATTTCCCTGCCTCTTCGGCCAGATTGAACGGGAAATCTGCTTGGTGTTCCGATTATCCTGATAGCCTGTTGGAACCTTTGTACCTTCAAATCGACCTGAAGAGAATTACGACGATATCTGCCATCGCAACACAGGGTTTCTACCCTCCAGTAGAATTAATGTCTCTTCGAATGGGAAGAGTTAGCAAATACCAGCTGAAGTACAGTATGGACGGAGTTTCTTGGCAGCTTTATAGAAACCGCGACAATGCTACAATTTTACCAGGGAATAAGAAACGAAACGGGACTGTGCTTAATGTGCTTACGCCGGAAATTACCGCACGTTTTCTACGCGTGTACCCATCAAGCTATTTTTCCTTTGTTTGCATGAGGCTAGAAGTGTATGGCTGTTCGTTCGGTTGTGGCGGCGCATTAGCGCAAGAACCCGGAAACATCGTGACGGAGGGTATCCCAACGGAAGATCAAGATTGTCTGTGGTCTGTGATCTTACCAAACACTTCGATAATACATTTTGATTTCATTAATTTCAACATTCCTTGTAGCAATGGACTAGTGGAGTTCAGAGATGGTGGAATGCCTTACGGTATAGCATCAGTGTTGGTCGAGTATTGTGGTTACGACGGCAGCCTTCCTCCCCCAGTCAGTTCCAACAGTGGTAAGTTATGGACACGATACAAGTCTAATTCGTCAGATCCCCAGGTTGGGTTCTATGCAGTGTACTTCCCAGGTTGCGGCGAACAATTACAAGGAAGTAGTGGTGATGTCAAGTCACCTAATTTTCCTAGAGAATATTTTCACAATTCGAAGTGTATCTGGACCATTTCTGTACCTGAAGGAAAGTCTGTGAAATTACTATTTGTGGATTTTAAAGTGGAGGGAGACCGAAATCGGCAGAGATGCCCCCATGACCATCTGACAATATGGAATGGCACTGATTTGAATGCAACAATCATTGGAAAGTTCTGCAACAGCAATCCACCCCCTCCAGTTATCTGTAGCTCAGGGAATACCCTTCGCCTGAGGTTCCGCAGTGATGATGCAATAGCATGGACAGGATTTCACATCAGATATCAAGCTGTTGATCCTTCGGCACATTGTTCCGAGATGTCTTCATCTGTCGTCATGCCAACATCATCCCAGTTGCCAACTTTCCATATGGCGCTCACCCATACACCACAATTAACCACACAGCATTGGTTGTTTCATGCAAGTAGTTATCTTGCGGAGATAACACCAACGTTTATAAGCTTATCAACCTCAATGGCATTGAATGGAACATTTAGCTTTTCTGGAACTACAATGAATGGAGAAATGCAAGCTGCAGCAAGAGGCAAACAAGATGATGAGGATGATAATGATGGCCTGTTGACTGTGGTTGTTCTTTCAGTGTTATCATTACTTGTCGTTTGCATGATCTTAGCAAGTATGGTGCCCTGTGCAAGACGCCACATCGAAAAGCGAAGGCGGGAGAAAGAAATGAACATGGTGTTTGCTGCTAGTTTAAGTATTCCTGAAACAAACAGCAAAGAGACATTTGAAGTTGCAGACAACAATACATTGCAAGTCCCAGAGATTGTGATGTGTGAAGGATCCTCCTATGAGGAAATCCTTCCCCCAGCTGATATTGCAGAGAGTGTCCCTCTATGTGAAACTCCTACAGTGGAAGAAACTAATGATAAAATTGATACAGTGGAAAGTAAGGTGTCCTCTAAAGTAGGAAGTGGCACAAAGCAGTTTGAAGATGGACTGAATGATATAGGAGATGAACAAACTGAGTTTGAGGACAAGTCAAGTCTTGATCTTGATGGTGCTGAAACAGAGGTTGATTGCTTAAAAATGTCCTACGAAGATCTAGGCAGTAGTTTTGCCTCTGAAATGCAAGCTATGTTGAGTCATTTTGTCGAAAGTGATGATCAACCTGCTCGGAATGCAAAACCTTCAGCAAATCCAGAAAATTCTCCCCAGGACTGTGATCATGAAACAGGGATGACAAATAGGAATGGCATGGAAGCTAAAGATATTGATAACAGGTCAAACCCATCAAGTGATGAGGCACCCTCTTCATCTTCCATCTCCAATCAAGAGGAAGAACGTCAAAGCTTGCTGAATGGGGACAGTGCTGCTGATGAAGATGAAATATGGGAAATGCAGCCTATTGACGTTGACAGTCCCAGTCGGAGAAAAACAGTCAGCGAAGATGGAATTTCAGTATCCTGCAAAGACAGCAAAGACTCTGGCTGTGCTTCAAGCAGTGAAAACTTGCATTCTGTCGATAGATATCTCAATACTGGCGATATAGAGACTAGTGTTTAGGGTAAGTGCAGGTACCTATCAAAATTATACAATTTATCTATATAATACTAAATGTGGGAAACATTTAGGTGTCTTGATATGTTTTCTTATTTATCAATCAGAGTACCAAGGGAAGAAAAATTTTTTTTTGAGTTTACATTGATGCAATGTTGCACTGAGCTGTTCAAGATTACGTGCTTTCACTCCTTTTTACAAGAGAAAGTTCAACTCGCGAGCATTATAAGAATTAATAGACAAAACCATTGATGGGAGAATATTACTATGAAAAGTCAAAGCAGAACCTCTAGAAGAAAGATATCTGGGTAAATCCCAGCTATTGTAAAGGTGCTCTGTAAAATCAGAGTTGTAATGAGGTCATCCAAAGAAAGAGTTTAATTATTGTCATTATTGCATAATACCCTGTTGACTACAGCTTTGTCCATGTTACAGCGTATTCTCAGCACCACCAACAATAGACTGCAGGTGCGTGGCGTGCTCTACGCATATATGCACGTGCGTACTTGAATTGACCAGAAAAATTTCAAAACATTGTTGTGTTTGCACCAAGTTTGCTCAAAATAAGGGCAAGATGCTTTGTTCTTTGCTTGTATTCACACAACTATTTCAAACAAAAAATAAAGAACGCAGTATTTTTCGCTCAGTTTACTTAGGTTTCTAGATCATATGTACTTGTGCATACTTGAAAAAATGACCACGCTACGCGCCTGGACTGTAAGGTTTTTCATTTAAGTGAGTGGGTTTTGCTGATCTCTGGAGTGAATTAAAGGGTCGATATTGAATGTGAAGAACAATTTGGGACAGAGTTAAACACTGTAATCTTTTAACTGGTGGGTGACAGTTCTGCTTAGAAATGTGCTCCAGTTTTATTATCAACAGTAACAGAAATATCTAGCTAAAAATATTTTTTGGTTATTTGTTTTGGCATATACCGTCAGGTTTGGGTGAGTTTTAAAAGATTTTGTTTACATTTTTTTTTATAAAAGAAATTAAGGAGATGTTAGTTGGCATGGAATGCTATTTATATCCAAAAAGGGTTTATAATTTTCATCATTTTGTAAACAGGAAATTCAAAGGATTAGTATTAGATTTCAGGAGGCAAATTGGCTGCAGACATTTTACCTATATCCTTCCAAAAATGCTGTATATGAAAACATTAGAAGTCCTTGCATTCTTAGATTGTTAATATTGGTGAATGATGATAGTGTTTGTGTATTTTTTTTTGCATTGGTGCATGTTTGTTTTGGTAAATTTGGGCAATCATTCCTCATTCTATGTTAAAATTCAGAAAGGGGCTGAGGAGATGGCATTGTTTTGAGGAAACCACATATTGGTGCAGAGTTTGTAAAAAGAGTAATTTAGTTCAAAGTGTACATTAAGGTTGATAGCATTGCTGAAGATCTCACTTTAGAATCTTCTTAGCTCTCTGTTGAAATTTATTTGTTAGCAGAGAGAAATCTGATCTTAAAATTTAAATCATTGTGATATAACTTAACACAGGGTGACATGTGCATGATAATGGCCTGTTTGAGCTCTACACACCTTGAACTTTGTACTCTCTCAAACTTGCACCAATTTTATAAACTCCGAGTACCTTGAAGATGTCTCTTTTGGTCCTAAAGAAGAATTTCACACTGACATTATAGGTTCTTATGTATTGCCTCAAACTGTTTATTTTTCCCTTTGCATATATATATATTGCTAGGAATAACATTTACCTTTGTTACCCAAGAATACTGACTTTGTCTCTGACACAGCTAACCACAATTAAATCATTTCAACTGGTACTCAAAGAAAAGCTCTTGACTCTTTTGCTCCCAAGATATTAGCCGTTCATCCGTTCACAGTATCCATTTTGAACGGCTTTCCTAGCCGTTCGTCACCCATTCACTTGCCGTTCCGTTCACCATTTGAACGGCTACTGTTAGGAAAGTTTTCGCGTGAGAGGTCACATATGAGTAATTCTCCCTACTATCTACCATACAATGCTTATGATATTAGTTTGGAGAATTTGGTATTGGATCAACTGATAATCCCCAAATTGATATTTTTCTGTCTTCTCCTCACTTGTCTGCTTGACATTGTATTGATATTGTAAGGAGAAATTATGTCTTGGTCACTTAAGAGGGAAAGGGTCGAGGCTGCGTAGTCTATAACTAAACCTTCATATACAAACACTACAGAGAAATGCCCAATAATATAACTGCATTTCTCTTATTTATTACTATCCTTTAAAAAAAATATATATGCCAGTATATGTCTAAACATAAATTTTCTTCTGTTGGTAGTAACAAAAACCAACCAGACTTATATCCAATAGAGTAAAGTTGATAATTATGAGAAAAGTATTTAACTGAGGTCACCTTGCAATTTCATTTGGTTTTAGTTTTAATTAATTCTTTATTTTGTTATAATTTAAATTAAAACCAATGATCGTAAAATTTCAGTTGTTGGCCTCCTTGCTTTTGCTCCTAGCAGCTTTCTTCTACCTATGCAGATTTTCCTGAAAAAATCCTTGCCATTTTACTTCAGAGGAAATGCATGTTTAATTTCTGAACAACCCTGCCATCGACGACCATGCACCCTTTTACTACAATTTAAGCCTGTTTGTTTCAGCTGAGTATTTTAAAATGTATAATGCAGTAATTTGGACATATCAGCAAAGTTGACATGGTAAATTGGCCACTGTAACGATTACAAAAGCTGACCTTTCGAGCGTTAGCCCTTCGTCTATTCGCTCCGATGAAGGGCTAACGCTAGAAACGTCAGCTTTTGTAATTGTTACCGTGGCCAATTTACCATTTCAACTTTGTTGATATATCCAAATTATTTCATTACCCCCACCGACGTAGCCCCAAACAGTTTCTTTAGAAACTATCAGCCTTTATAATGCAGTAAGTTTCTTTTAAAAAAACTGTGGCATTGCATCAATGGGGGAGTATAATAAGATAATTTGGTGTTAGTGACAGTTGATAATATAAATTGGCAATTGTGAAGAGTTTCAAATGCTGATATTTCAAGTCTTAACCCCTCATTGGAGCAAATGATTATCTTTAGAATGTAATTTGGAAGAGCCCAATTAAGATTAATTCTAAAATTCCCTGTAAAACCAATAGGGGTCACTGAAAGGCACTGTGGAAAAACAAATAACTATAAGTATGAATTCTTTATAGTATTCCCCAGGTGCTTCACAGGTAGCCCAAGCTCTCAATATGAACCACACAAGGAACACAATATGGTATATCAATTTATAAGGATTTGTATGGGACTTTCTACTAGATGTCCATGGAGGTAGTTATAAGTGAAAATATTCAATAAAAATGGCATACCTTATTTCACAAGGGGTTGTTTGCTCCTGGTGTCGTTATTTTACCGATTAAACTTGGATTAAAAAAATCGCTTAAATCAAGTTAAATCGGTAAAATAACACCAGGAGCAAACAACACACATATGGAATAAGGTGAGCCATTTTTATTGAATAATTATTTTCACTTTTAACTACCTCCACTGATGGATTATAATCTGGTAGAAAATCCCATACAAATCCTTATAAATCGATATGCCATATTGTGTTCCTTGTGTGGTTCATAGAGAGAGCTTGGGCTACCTGTGGGTGCTTGTGCTGAGGTGCAATGTTTGACACTGAATACTAAATTAGTTCATCAGTAGTACTGGTAGTTAAAGAGCTGACAGCCAACATTGAGTAACTTGCCTCTCAAAGCATTCATTTAAATCTGTTAGCCATGACTATTTGACCTTTTCAGAATTTTTGTAATTACTGATTGAACCAATTTTCTTTACTTTTGCTGATAATTGTTTTTCTCAATAATGAACTCTGGTTTCCAATTTGGGGTTGCCACTTCTCTAACTTCGATGCCAATATGAATACAAAATTTCCTTCTTGAAAACCGCAACTTGTATCGTATATTGCTTTGAGAGAAAGGAAGCATTGTGTGGGTTCTCTGTTTAGCACAAGAATACAAAGCAGGGGCTTAACCTAGAGCTAAAATTTTGGATTTTTCATTTAAAATAACCCTTTAACTCCAAAATGTGATTAATATGTAACTTCTCCCTGTAATATCCATAAAGCATCCAGCAAATAGGTATTGAGAATACCGTAACTGACCCGCGGATAAGCCGCACCCTGACTTTAGCAGCTAATATTTTGGAAAAAAGGTTTTTTTGAAAAAAAATCAAAAGAAATCCAAAGTCGAGTCTTGAGAAGTCTTCTTCATCCACTGTTCATCGAACGTAAACTTACTATTAACATTGCAACGGAAAATGCCTGTGTTACCCACAATTTTACCGCTTAAATATAATGAACATCGTTTCTACCAACTTTGACTTATGATTGATCTTTATCTGGTATTTTTTGACAGGAATTTCTTCATTCAACACAGTTTTCCCATAGATTTTCGCATTACAACAAGAAAGTAAGGGGAACATTCGAGCAAAGCGGATTTCGGAGTATGTTTCCGATCGAAGCTTAGTAACCAGGCATAGAGCGGACGAGAGAATGAAAATTGGCGTCGACAGTCTTAATGCTTTTTTCAAATGTTCCCGAAGATACGCCGCACCCCTAATTTCAAGCGACGATTTTGGAAAAAAAAGTGCAGCTTATCCGCGAGTTTTTACGGTACTCGAACTTATCAGGTCAAACACCAAATTCCTGTGACCAATTTACAAGGAAATTTGTGGCAGCTGGAGAAGAGAACCAACAATCAGATATTAGGTGTTTAAGGGTTGAGTCATGTTCCCTGACCAGCAGACTCTACGAGCATACTGTGATGAAATGTTTATGTCCTGAAGATGAGAAGGCAGGAAGCAGATACAAAAATTGAAATGTGTGACACTGTGGAATAACAAAATTTTTTTTTATTTTATTTTATTTAGTCACCCAGTTGACCAGATCTCATGCATACAATCCAATTTGTTCTGGTTTATTTGTATTTACAAAATAATTCACAAAAGTCTATCTAGTTACCTCAGTACACAGGACCCAACTACTATTTCCTTTTTGCTTCTAAAACAAAAGCATGTATTATCTTAGTTAGTTTTACATTTAAAACTGAACAAAAATTCATCTGACTTACTATTAACCACATGTAAGCACACCATAAACTATAGACAGACAGGTCAATTAACAAATCATGCAAAAGTATCTTATTGGAATTTTGGAGCACAGTATATTGGGCAGTTTAATCTTTAAATTATCACTGAAGGAATCAGACAGGTTTCATTACTGTATTTTATATCACTAAGCACTGCCATTGGAGAAGTACACCATCTGAGAGATGAAAGCTGTTTTCAAGCAGTGCCCCAAATTAAGACTAGAACCCTAAGCCATGAAATGGGGAACTTAATTTGGGTATTGTATTCTTCTCAGAAGTAGTTTAAAGTATTCTGTTTGTCAACTTCCAATAAAGCACTTTGATAATACAAGTTTGTGAGTTCAACAGGGTGACAAATGTGGATTACAGAGTTGCAACATGTTTCTTTTTTTCCCATATCCCCTACTATGAAAGTCACATTCTTAAGAGTAGGAGCAATTTTCATCCAAGAACAGCTTTCATCTGTAGTTTTGTTTCTGTCTGTGGTGTTAGACTAATGGTGGCATTCATTCACGGGTAATGTTTCACCTCAGGGATAGCTGTTTTATAAAAGTCATTCAATCAAATATAAATAACGCAATTCTCTAAACATAAAAATGAGCCACTTTTCGTGTTCACACAAAATTCATACTGAACAATACTCACAATGTAATATCTATCATTCAAAAACAACTTGCTTCAAAATAATTATAAAATCCATTTACAATTATATATAATAAAAAAAATAATAAAATAAAGAAAAAGTGAAGCCAAACTGCAACAAACTTTTAACAAATCCTAAATATTCCTTCATTGTGCCTTGAAGTGAATACAATTAAGAAATAAAATCAAAGACTTGTCGATGGAAATGTGAACTTTTGAGTGAGAGAATTACCCACACTGTGTACCTTAAATACTTTGCCTCCTTTTTAGTTGTTGGGTGATTTCAGTTGTTACGAGTTCTAACAATTCAATCAACAACAAGATCGGTTTGCCCTGTGTGACTGTGCGCCATGTTAAATGGACAGAAGAGAAAGACTGGTAACAAATCTGCTTTGATTACCGCTGAACTGTCTTCTGCTGACTCCGCCAACTCATGTCCTAATGTCCCAAATTAATGAAATCCATTCTTGTCATTTGTTGACAGAAGGGAGGGGTGAGTGTGCAGTTTGTCAGATAAGGACATCAATCCCAAATGTGCATGCAACATTACTTTGTTGTTCTAGAAAATACCCATATGTTTACTTCTTTCTTTGGGGGTGGGGGTTCTTTAAAAGGGCTCCCCTCGACCTCACCCCCCACTCTTTCATACAATTTTTTTAAATGGTTGCCATAGTTATTGGTTTTTGAAATCCCCTGACTTTTCCCTGACAAACTGAATTAACAATTTCATGAACAAGTTCTGATTCAGTGCTGTGCTCTGGCACCACCCGGTGGCCCCTAGCACCTTACTTTTGCTCTTGGGCGACTCAGGAATGTTAGTTTTTTTCATAAAAAGTTCATGCTGGGTACCCTGGATTTCACAGTTTCAGAGCACTGGGCTCCCTTCAATTTCATCCTCGAGCCCAGCCTTGGATTACAGTCTTACACTTCCCACTGCAGCCATCCTCTCCACCCATAAATTTATGTATTTTAGCAAGTCATATACATCATAGCTGAATTGAGAGTTCCTTAACCTTTTAAACCTTAAAAAAATGACCAGGATCTAGTATCTCCTTACAGTGATACTGCTCAATCATTCATGAAGGTGATGAAAATAATGAAAATGATCATCAACTAACATCTAATAAGCCTTGATTGTTAAATAAATTCTCCTATTCAGTACCAAAGGAAATGTGTAGAGATGAGAATGGAGAATATGGATACTGATCAAGGCTGTGCTTTAAGAAAAAGTGAAGGGAGCCCACTGCTTTGAAACTTTGAAATACAGGGTACCCAGCATCTGCTTTTATATGAAAAAACTAAAATTCCTAAGTCGTTCAAGAGTGAAAGTAAGGCGCCAAGGGCCACCGGGTGCTGTTAAATTGTAAAGGGTGGAGGTAACATGGGAAAATAATTGATTTTTTTAGAAAACCGAATATCACTGTGGCAACCAGGTTTTTGCATTCAAGATACACACATGTAACCTTCCCATAGGGCTATGGCAAGACCCTTTTTGATAGGGTTTATAGTACCCAGTAATATTCACAAGTAATTGTAGATACTGTCTGGGGCAATCAAATATGTTCTAGCTTACATCTTCACCCAACATGTAACATCTACCTGTTCGCATATCATGCCTCGTTCCAAAAGTTATAAGAATCAAACAGATCTGTGATCCCTTCTGTATCTGTTAATGTGAATAAATATTCCTCTTCTGTAAGATTTGGTGAAAGAGGAATCAAAGCATCACTGTCCAAATCTTCCAGACCAGTTGTTTCATCATTTGTCTGTAAAAGAACATTTTTCCGTGGACTGACTACAGTGGAAAAAATGCTTCTTTGAAGATCTTCATTAAATGTCTGCGAGGGTATTGCCATATCACCACAATTCTGAGGGTTTTTCTCAGGAGTCAGAAGGAAGTGATTTGGTGTTGTTTGAGGAGGTGGCTGCCTTTTGATGGGAGAAATGTCCTTCATTGGAGATTGGACATTAACTTGTTCCTCAGGGCATAGATAAACGTCAATAGGGCCTCGAACACTCTTCAGCCAGATTTGGATACTCTGTTATATTAATTAAAAGAACATTATTACCATAAACACTGACGTATTTGCAGATATGCCCCACTCTGAGTTTGGCAACAAAGTTTGGAAAAAAACAGTTTTTGACGAAGAGATTGAAAGAAATCACCAGTGGAGTCATGAGAAAGTTGTTTTGTATCACTTCATTCATCAAACACAAATTCACACACATTGAAAACAGAGAAAACTTTGAATCCTTAAAATTCACATGTACACTAGAGAGAAATTGCTACATTGGATATGTATGACTTATCCATGTGACTAGGTATATTAACCATAAGATAATTCATTAAGGTAGAATTCTGATCATTTTTACAAGGCTTTGAAAGAAGAAATCAGACCTTCTGTTTTTGATTATTCCTACATGCATACTAAGTACATCAAGGACCTGGAGGCAAATTTTCCATCTTGAAAGTACGCTACGAAATAACTTTTTTAAGGAGTTAAAAAACATCATAACAGAGTGAAACAGCTCTTTTATTTTTACTGTTTACTAACTTTGGAAATGTCTTAAACTGTTTTTAATTACCCATACCAAAAGAAACTCGAGACACTAACTTTTCAACTTACTAGCCAAGTGGCTAGTGACAAATTACATGTTACAACAATTTCAATTTGTTTACTAGCCAAACTGGCTATTGGAAATTGAAAACCACTGACCAAAACTGAATTTCTACCTAGACTGTGGCTAGTTGGCTACCATTAATGTTGAGCCCTGGCTTAACCACCAGTTTTTTTTTCCTACAAATACTATACCCATTGAAATAAACAATAATCATGCCACAATAGAAAAAAAACAATAAGCTAACTTATACATTCTAATTACAGAAACAAGTCTTACACATATGATGGTCCCTTATCTTTGAGCTGCACTGGTGTGGCCTGCATAACACCAAAGGTCTAGTTCGTTTTACTGGTAAGAGATTAAATTTAAATGCACTGCAGCACACATAAAAGTATCATGGGAAAGAATATTCACACAGGTACCTGCTTAGGATCTGGTACTTCTAGTCTTGTTTCTGGTGGAGCTTTGATTGCAATCACTGTCCTGTTTTTAAAATGCTTCACATCACGAATATCTCGATATGTAACATATGCATATGTGGTAAAAATTAAGGACAATAATACATAATACCTGATGTCATTCTGATTTATTTAACTCAACATCAGTATGCATGTTCTCCATGTTGTTCTCTACACATTTCCTCTGATACTGAAAAGGAGAATTTGGCAAAAAAAAAATTAAGAGGGGGGGAAATATTGGGGGAAATTAAATGCTTATCCTCCTTGAGAGTTAAATGATTACTGTAAAAACCAAAGGACAAGCCACACCTTGAAGTTAGCCGCTCATGTTTTGGAAAAAAAGTTTTTTGAAAAAAATAAAAAAAAAATCCAAGTCAAGTCTTGAGAAGTCTTCTTCATCCACTGTTCGTTGAACATAAACTCACTATTAACATTGGGATGGAAAATGCTTCAAAATGTTACCCACAATTTTAGCATTTTAATAAAATGAACATCATTTCTACCAGCTTTGACATTATGATTGATCTTTTTCTGACATTTGTTGACAGGAATTTCTTCATTCAACACAGTTTTTCCATAGATTTTTGCATTACAACAAGAATGTGAGCGGAACATTTGAAGCTTAGTAGCCAGGCTTTAGATCGGACATGAAAATGTCGACATGCACAACACCTTTTTCAAACGTTCCTGCAGATAAGCTGCGCCCCCCAATTTATAGTGACAATTTTTGAAAAAAAAGGTGTGGCTTATCCGAGGGTTTTTACATTAATAAAGTTTTTTGAGACAATGACCCATTGTTTTGACTGAAAGCTTTCATGTCTATCTTAACCAGTCATTTTTCCTTGATGTAATCTGCAAGCTATGGCAAGTGGCAGTGTTAAATGTAAATGGAAGTGTAGTCAGGGGCCCTTTGAACTTCATTTACAATAAAATCATTGGGATTTCCTGCTAGAAAGGATATTTGGCAACTTCAGTATCTTCTGTAAGATTTTTGATTTCCGAACGGCAACCGTCTATCATTCTGTCGAGAAAGGATTCTTTGGCATCAAGGTCGGCAATGTCTGTGTGGAGATCCATGGTCTGGGCTGAAATTGATTCAGCTCCTTTTGTTCGCCGCGAACTATCAGTATAGCAGGTTCCCCTATAATAACAATACAAATAGGTTGAAAGACGATCAATTAAAACAAAAGCAAAACTCACACTTCACCCATATTCTCCATACTGTTTTCTACACATTACCTACAAAGCTGACAAGGAGAATTTGTTTACCAATCAAGAGGTTCCTTTTAGTCAGTGATCATTTCCTCTTTTCTCATAACCTTAATGCGTGATTCAGGGGTGATTTTGTTAGGAGAAATTAAATGCTGGTCCCTCTCAAGGGTCTAAGGGTTAAGATAATGGAATTCTGAAACACCTGATACCAAAATCATCTTGCACGCTAGGAAAATATTAGGTTGAATTGTAAAACCATAGTGTTCGACCTGTGTTACCTGCTATAGCCCTTCAACTCCCACGAGTGACTAAGACAGAATTTCTCCTTACAACAGCAATATCAAGCAGGCAAGTGTTAAGAATAAAGGAAACTATCAACAAGGGTAGTTTTAGTTGATCCAATACAAAATTCTCCAAACTTACATGATAAGAATTGTATGACAGACAGTAAGGAGAATTCCTTAAAAGATCTTGGGAGTGAAAGGGATACAATCCTCTCACCCAATCAAAATAAAAGAAAATCTGACAAGCAGGTGCTGATAACTCAAAATGGAAACAAGCAAGCTGTCTAGGTCTGGAAAAGAAAAAACTGCATGTGATGAAGTAACGAATGGTCTTAATCTGATTGGTAGGGATGGGCCAATGCCGATACCAAATATTCGATACCAGCGATACCGAGGTGTGATCAAAAAATAGCGACACTAGCGAAGAGTATCGATTCTTTCGATACTGCACGTGACCTACCCGCGCTTTAAATCTCCCGCAACTAACCGCTGACAAGCAGCCAAAAAGACTCTGGGCTCAAGATTGTGCATTTGCACATTTGTGTGCAATGTTGGATTGCATGCCGTAGTGTAACGGTCAAAGTGGCAGTTTCTTCCATTCCCTAGTACAACATTTCACTGCGAAATAGGACCCGATTTTATTAACTGTTAATGTAAAGTCACTCAGTACAACGGCAACAAAATCACAACTCATAACAACCCAGGCATTACAAGAACATATCTGGAGTAACAAAAATGAGTCGCAAACCATGCCTGCTTACTAAAGAAAAACCCCGAGCGAGAAAAGCATTGAGGAAGGTTAAATAGTTCTAAAGCATGGCACCCTGTATGGTCCTGTATGCCTGGAAGTCTCTGGTGTATCGAGTATTGAAGCGCAGGATCCATAATAAGTCGGGCATCAGTGGTTTGGTTATCCTCAGTGACCAGCACAGTCACTGATAACCATTTAATGTAGCCTTATGATCATGAACGCAAGTGAATATTGTACCATTGCCGTCCTTTTCATTTCTTCGGGAAAATTAAAAATGAGACCTAATAAATTCGATTTTTGACATGTTTGACTGTCTTTTTAATGCTACTATAGAGACCTGAACAGAAAACCGTGTGAGAGTGTCTCGTCTCGTCACTCAAATCACATGACTTACTATATAAATTATTTCAATGACATCACAGTATCAGTATCAGTATCGATATCGAAGAAAAAGGGAATATCGTACTCGGTATCGTATCCATTCAAAAAAGCCATATCGGCCTATCCTTACTGATTGGCTGATGAGGTAGTGTTAATTTTCTACAGAGGAAAATGAGGCAAAATTAAGTCCTCTTACCTCCACTCAATATTGTTCTTAGATTTCTTCTTTATCAGCCCAACACCTTCCAAAACATTGGTAATGTCGTAAATTCGTCTTTTTTGAACTTCTAGAACATCTGCTGCCTGGTTCAAATCCACTACACCATCTTCAGTGCTTCTTAAAAGACCCACAAACTTTTTGGTCAAGATCCCCAGTGATGTATCATAGCGGGTCTTCTCTATTGGGGATTTGACAAACACTGTGGAAGAAGAGACAAATCGAACGTTATAAGTGTTTATCTAGCAGTTAGGAATCTTGCTGTGATGTTACATTGGCAATATTCCCACCAAGTTAAAATCTTGCCTTCTTATACCATGGCAATTAAGGCGAAACCGAAAACGATGATTCAGCAACCGAATAAAAGGACTTTGTTTATAACCATATCCTGATTTCTAGAGTTACGTCCGAGTGTAAATTTTCATTTAATTTCTGTCAGTACATAAAGATGTGTTCATGCCTTAATCAATTCTCACAGGTGAAGTATATTCTTCGATTTACGGCAAACGCCCTTTAACGATTACGGATGATTGCCTCTGACTTATTTTCTTTGAAATGAAATCAAATTATTCATAAACCATGAAACACAAGTGATGTGGAAAATCTTTTGACTGCTAAGAATAAAGGCTTCATTTACATAGATAGTCCTTTGTTTGAAAGATTCAATATATTCGGAGATTTTGAAAAGCCTAGAAATTATGGAAATAAAAGTCCCAATACACACACCACGCTAGTTTAGAAAATTTTATTTACTCAGAGGAACATTTGCTATTGACTGTTCGCATTTATCGAAAAAAACAAATATACTCAGTTCTGCAAAAAGACTCGAGCAATCCCGGAAACACACACGTGTTCCCTTTGTTCAGAATGATAATTTTACAGAGTCTTTTTAATTCTTTCCCTGAATTGTAAGGAAAACTTTATAAACACGAAGAAAAATACTTACTCTTTGGATATGGTTGCATTTCTCTTCTCCCTCTTCTTCTGGTTTGACCTTTCGCTTTCGGAGTTCTGAATGATTGCCTTACTCGAGTAGGAGATTCATCCAGGTCGAGTCTTCTTTTCACCTAAAATTTAACAACCACGAATCAATACCAAATTTGCTCAGAGAGGAAAGTGCTAAGTAGGTTAGAAGTTCTAAACTCGACCTCGGAAATCTACATACCTGAGGCCTGGAACTTGAGCAATTAACCGATCGTTCCTTCGAATAGACATCGGGTGTACACAAAACCGGCTTCGATCCTTTGAATGCGGGTGATAGCGGAGCTTTTGTCTTCATTGGATGCGAGGAAGTAGAACTACTGTCCAGAATTTTCCTACCGATTGAGTTAACCTGTTGGCTATGAGCGCTTAACGGCGGTCTACTACGACCGTCAATCGAGTATCTTCGCGTCGCCATATTGGTCAACAACAGAATGGGCTTTTCGACAGCGTTCCTGTTCAAAAAATATCAATCAACTTCTTACAAAGCCTTAGCAGTGGGAGAGATAACGGCTGTAAAATGCTACTATAAGCTTCTTTCAGAAGTTTTGAGTCTCTTTTGTGTAAAATAGCTTTAAATCTGCGAGATGAGCTATTCGAATACTGTTCATTCGATCCTAATTCGCAATGAATAATGAAAATAAAAAGCGCGCGCTTTCAAGTTTCGCGCCGGAAGTGATCACGTGGTACAGCTCCTAGCCTCAGACCTCGCTGGGTCAAACCACGGGATCATTTGCACGGGAATAACAGTTTACGTTCAATTCTCGCGTTTTTTTGCCAGAAAAGCAAGTTAAGGAGTACACAAAAGCTGATTTTAGTCTTAGAACTGCTCAGAAATTATTCAATACGAAATTAATTTGCATAAATAACATTTTCTGTACCAATAATAACACAACACAATTTTATCTTTTTGTCATGGTCTGGTTAATCCGTTTCTGTGAACTGACTAGATGCGTTTGAGGGCAAGTGAACTTAAAATAGATATTGGGAAATTCTCTAAATTTCTTTACTTAGGCCCATTTGGAAAAAATTTAGAACCGTAAATTAATAGTCTCTTGGTAGCTCTATCGTTTTTGAGCTCTACAATTTTGTAAATACTGACTGGGACGAACTGGAAAAGGGTAAATTAATTCGTTAGGTGATTAAAAGGAAAGGTGCAAATGAATACAATGCATTTAAATTGTATGGTAATTTTCTTCCTTTTAATGCCCACTAGGCAGATGAGACACATAGTTTTGCTGGATGAAAAGCTCATGAACTACCTAAAGAATATTTTTTTTACACTGTATACAGTTTCATACTCTTTTCAGTTGCGATTCATGAACGGTGACAATTTTGGTGTACGTTCGAGGGAAGAAGCCCATTGAAGATACAAATACTACAATGAAAACACAACGAAAACAGAATTTCTATGCATCATGATTTTCGCAAATTGCTGCTTCGCTGCTGATAAGATGGGCGGAGAATGAAATCGCAGAGGTCGAGAGAGATGAATGTTGAAATCTTTGCCCTTTCGCTGCTGGGAACTATGTTTTACAACTATAGGAATGATTGGTGATAATTTGAGGGAATACATTCAAGCTGGTTTACCGAAAGACAGAGTAATTGCCAGCTCTGTTCCCTCCATCTTTAACCTGTTAGACACGACATCATCGAAATTTAAGAATCACTCGGATAAGGATTAGCAATTGTATTTATCATTTTGTCTCGTCTCGTATGGATTTGTTGGTAATAAAAATTGCTGCGAAAATTCGCGTGTCCGTTTGTTTCTCAGTACGTGTATTTCTCTTGTTTCAGGAGGAATTGAAGGAGAGGACGGAAAGAAACTCAGGTATTTCATAAAAATTGTGAAACTGATAGAACCAGTCATGTGCAATTTTCCAATTTTTCTTTTCTCATCAAAGTTTTTAGTTTCACCAAAAGTCCAATTCATATATTTAAAATACCAGAACATAACGCGCATTTTAAACCTCTCTGTGACAAATTTGATCAGTAATTGTTCGGCAGACAAGTCAATTGCACTTAAATGGAGATCGATGAAAAAAAAAAAAAAAAAAAAAAAAGAAAAATCGACGGAGTCAAATTTCGACTTTGTCAAGTTATTCATTTGCTGTGATGTTCCTAAAATGATCAGATTTCATTTTAATATTGTTGTTAGCCAGACGAGGCAAGTAACGCATACACGATCAAGTCAAATCTGTTTACATCTACAAAAAGGCGCTATTGGGGTCCTAATATTACTCAAGACTGCAAAGCTTTTAAGATGCATCCGTTAGCATCACCTACTGACTAAAGCTACTTTTGTTAAGTTCATTGCAATAAGGTCGTGAGTAAAAACAAACCTACCTATACACCTACATACATATAAATGAAGACAATGGCAAAAATAAATGGAAATAAATAAGGCACTTGCGAACGCTTTATATCAAACTGGCAGGGTTCTATGAAAGTCATTTGTTAAAATTTAATAATACTTAATCTGAAAGCTCGAAGGTATACATTTAGCTTTCCAGTCTTGAACTTGTTTCAGTAAGCGCTAAAATTATGACCTATTATGCTACCCAGAAGGTTTACATTAGCAGTAATATTCTGAGGGATTTCACATTTGGCGCCAAAAACAGTCAGCTGAGACTAAGCATAATTATGTCTCGCGCTATGTTTGCTTGTGTGCGGCTTACGGGCCTTAGGTAATCTGTTTACGCACAATTGGGCAGATACCATTTAAAGTGAGTAATCGCATCCTATTGAACGTGGATAAAGAGCATTATTGACTGCGAAGCTAATTAGAACCGTCCTGTACAAGACGCCGAAGCATCGATGGATTATTTACGCCGAGATGTTAGTAAATGCGTGCGTTCAACAACTATTGCACTTTTTGTGCAAAAGGGCGTTTTATGCAGTTCGCGATTTTAAGAGAATTTTTTAAGGCATACTCAGGTGGTTTCTTTGTTTAGGGGATCTAGATATGCCTCAATAAGCAGTATGGTAAACACCTCCTGGAATAAATCAGCAGCTGGGTCAACCAAGCGCGAAGAGAAAGAAAACTAAAAGGCGGCAATCGAACATGATCGTGAATTCAACCAAGTGCGCTGTTATTTCGGCCCTACTCGCGTCTGTGTAAATATTGAAATTAGTCCTCGATCTGTTGCTTGGGAATGTCTCTCCCAGTGCCTCACGGTCTTCTTTCCTTGAGCTGAGACGTACAGATCAGATCAAGCTTGACCGGATGGGTAAAATTAATATTCTTCCTCCTGAAATCGATGTAAGCTTGGAACATGGGTCCGCTTTTAGCTACGAGTCCAGACATTCCCTCAACCTTCTCTCTGTGAACTTGTCGGAACGTCTGTGCAAGAAAGCAAGTAAAAATAGAAAGTTCCAATGAGGATCAAAGAAACCATTCTAAAAACATTGAGCCAGGTAGAGTGTCAGCTCAGTTTTTTCCTCTTAGTTTGTATCAATTAAAGCAATATATTCCCTGTTGAGCTTAAATTCAAGCAATTGAAGTCTCCCAGATACTAGTTAAGCACTACTACAAACTGAGCTGCGAAGCCACACGTTGGGAGCGGGGTATATTCTAGGGGGGTTATTCCTTTCTCTGAAGTGTAACGTTCTGGAGTTCGCTTATACAGTTCGCGTACAGTTCGCTTAGTTGTTCGTTATCCTACTTTGTCTCACACACCGTTCTCACTTTACCGTGCATAATAAATACTCGAGTAAACGTCTCCTGGGGCCTTGGGCGTGGTCTTGGAGGCCTGGACACTACATGAAGGAATCTGCTCACCTGCGGCGAATAGTTTTTCACTGGATTTTCAATCCGCAGGTCAAATGAAAATTTTATCATAACAAATTGTAATACTTCATGTCCGTGTCTGTTCTTGCGATTCTCTCAACTGGCTAATTAACTAATGGAATTGTCCTTGTTCTAAAGATTACGCAAATGATCAAAGATTTATAGACAGATGTCGCGACAATCTGTGCTGAAGTCATCGTAAGAGCCCGCAAGGCTTTGTTACGACACAGGTTGATTGCTGGTTGCTTGGCAAGCGCAATTTTCGAAAAGTTACCTTGTTTCACAACGCGCGGTCAGCGTCATAATTTGATATTAGGGACCTTAATAAGCAAACCACGACGGCAACGGCAAGGAGGACTGAAACTTTTTTTCTTTCGTGTCGTCACTGTTAAAAGCTTTTGTTATTTTCAATAATTTTTCGCTTTTTTCCTATTTTGAGTTTTAACATTTTTAAAAGTTACTGAAACATAAAAATCTAACGGGCAGAACAATAGCTCAGTGCGTGCGTTTTTAAACTTTGTACACGTACATTTTCTTGACCTTACCCGTACAAAACAACAATGCGAATTCTGTCAAATTTGCGTAGCCTGAGAACGGAATCCCCGACGGCAAATTATCGCTGCTCGTATACGCTACGTTAAAGTTGAGATGCGGCAAGTAAGAGACGGTGAACATATCGTACCTTTCGCGAAATTCCAACTAAAAATATAAATTCATTTTCTAATCAACGCTTTCTCCGACGTTGTCTTACAAGCGGATATACAAATTACATGTAACTTATTTCTTGTGTATACTTTTCCTCACAATTGGCTACAAATGTACTTCATATCAACAACACAAACCTTAGTGACTTGAGCGTTTCATTAAAGTGGCGCAGGCTTTCTTCCAGGGAACCGAAAGATACATGAACATCCGGCAGACTTATCCCTTCGGGAAACTTTGGCGACTTCTACACGAAACAAAACGAAACAGTGACAATGAAGTTAAGAGTTGTCGAAGAGAACGCTATGATTATTTGATATGTCATTTTTTTCAAACTCCGCTAATAGGATTAAAATTTTAGAGACTTTATACTTGAAATATATTGAGTCGTTGTGTGGGTAATCTTTTTTCTTTTTCAAATAAAATTTGCCAAAAGACGCTGATGTGACATACATTTAACTTTTAAAAAATAAAATTACGGGATCTGTCGAAATAACTTGAACTTATAAAAATTCAATTGGAGTTGGTATTTTGTTTGTGAACTTGTGAAAGTTTTCATGGAATATTGTTGTACACCTTTTAAGTAAAAAGGTGTCTCGTACTTAAACTGTTGACATCAAACAAGAAGTTGAATATAGCTCCTATTTTATTCTAGAATGAAAGTGTATAAGCATTATATCAAAGGAAGTGCGTTGAATTCGGGATTGGCTTTAAGCAGATAAGCATGGAATAACTTGTTTGATTGTAGTAATTTAGAAACTAGATTCTCGTATGGTTTTTTGTGAGAATGGAAATGACCCACACAATACATATGCTAAAATTAATTTGTTTTTTAAAGTGTAATTTACCCTTTTTGCTGAGATACTTTAAATAAAGAGGCTGAGTGATTATTTTCAGTCATTATCCTTTTGACCCAATAGTAGTCTTATACTATTTCTTCCCAGAATCTCTGGAATTATTGATTTGGCATCATGATCTGATGTCATTTTGCTCTTTGTACTAAAGCCATGCCAAACCAATGTTTAACAGCTGATAATACTTTTATTGTGGCTATTGTTTTACAACTTGTACGATGTTACTCCGGAAGTGTAACTGGAATACATTCAACTCTCTCGAGGGCGGACACCTTCGGGAACTGGAAAAAAAGTGTCGGTTTCTAGAGCTGCCCGCCGACGATAAGTATTCCCATAAGCTGACACCAAAGAAAAATAGGACGGATGCCCGCTTACAGGGGAGTTAGGCAGGGTATTAATTACATGTTTTAAACGGTAGCCAAAAGAAGGAACTGAGACTATTTAATAATGTAAAATGTTAAAATTCGAAATAGAATAGACAAAAAAACAAAAACAAAAAAACAAAGAAATATACAGTATCAACAAAAAGTTACACGGGACTTGTTGCTGCCGTCGATACATGTCTCTTTGGTGTTTTTCCGCTTACGGGAGAGCGTAAACAAAACAAAAATCCAATTTTCGTTCTTAAAATGTCCGCGTCCAATTATGAGAGTCTCCGCTTATGGAATGTGTAAATATAGAGTTTGACTGGGATAAAAAAGGGGAACTGAAGAAAGTGTCTGCAAGTAGAACTACTAGAGACTTTGGTTTAGCGGAGAAAAGACCGTACTAATTTCCAGTCAATGTAGGTAGGTGTAACCATGGGTAGGCCTCCTTTTCTGGAAATGTACTGTTTACTCTTGTTGAAGATTGTTCTTACGTAGTTACCTTTAAACCGTATTACTGTAGACATATTATTGTGGAACTGAAATGTCTTTCGTTAAAGTTGTATACCTAGTAATTTTTACATTGCTCAGGCTGGTTTGTTTTGGTCAGGAAACCCCCAAGGCATAGTCAGAACTTTTCACATGTAAAAGATTAGGTAAATTGTCTACCTTGCTTTCTCCCAGGCTCTGCGCTTTTCTTTTCCTCCACGAGCTCTCTCCCAGTCCCCGAGGACTTTCACCGTCACTAAGAGCGTTTTTCAGTAATTCTTCAAATCTGAAAGAACGTTAACGGTTAACAAATACTACACAATGTTAAAAATGTACTTTTTCTTATAAAAGCAACTATACTCGAGTCTCTATCGTAACACTGAATTTATAACCAGCTCGCTATCTAACACTCTTTTTGGACTATGGATCAAAATATGGAAATACTGCCCCAAGAAATTGGAAAATATGAAAAACTCTCCCAAGAAATTGGAAAGAAATAACGAAGTATGTATTTAGGGTTACTGTCTACATAATAGGGTGCCTTTCCGAAAAATTTTCCAACGCGCGATACTTTAAAAGAAACCATGAAAAACTATACATCGCTGTAAATCTTAGATTATGAAAATAGCAAAAGTTTTAACACTGAGTGACGAGACGAAAGTAAAAACGTCTCTATTTCATTACCAATATCAAAAGTTAGCATCTTTCCTGCTCTATTTAGGAGGACAAGCTAACGTTGGAAAGACTTGACCAAGCCGCCTCCTTTCACTCCGCAATCATTTGGATACTTTTCATTTAGCGACCGAAAATGGAAGATGAAAGAAACTCTCGTACCGTTTACACTCCGTCTTAGCTTGGTCCACAGCAGACTTCAACTGTTCGCTCGTTATCTTTATTTCAGACTGGGAAGACAAACTCGGAGATTCGATAACTACGGAAGACGCAGGTGGAATTGGCGCGACAAGAGCTGGCGTTACTAATAGTGGTGTGACCGATGGAACCGAGATACAGGATGACGTGACCGGAGGCGTAGACTGCACTGATGGTATTGCGAGAGGAAAGGAACCTAGATAACAATGAAATAGGCAAAGTGTGTTCACGAGACTGCTTTGCATTGACTTGCAATCAAACGTCATTTTTTCAGGGAGGGGGGAGGTGGGGCTTAAAAGGGTAGCCACGTAAGAATCGACGGTCCTTCTCTTGCACTGCTAATTTATGTTATTTATGGTTACTTGATCCCACATTAGCTTCACGTAGCTGATGAAGTTTATTAAGATGCCCACGGCATGAAGAACGATCAAGAGTAAAGTGAGGCTATTTTTGGACCGAACACAAGCAAAACACAAGGCAACTAGCACAAATGTTTTAAAGTCCTCGACAATTTCCCATTATTCACTTATACCCCTGGTAGGAGAGACGCATTGTAGGTGTTTGGGGTCTTGCCAGATAACGTTATACAACGCCCCGATAACGCTTTTTGTGCAATTTCTATGATCAAATTTATTCTAACATAACATATGTAGTTTTATCTTATGATGGAATAAAGACTTTATTATTATTATTATTATTATTATTATTATTATTATTACTGTTCAAAAAGAGAGAGCATAGAGGGTCGCAGAAGGTTTCTTTGTACTGTTTAGGTATAATAACAGCTGCCTAAGACGATAGAAGAGACATTAAAAACGCAAAAGTCATTGACTTTTGACCTTTTAATACCAGAGCTCGAGATCCGTACTCTAAGTTTTTTCCCGCTCAGATTTATGACCCGCTCAGATTTACGAGGTTTCGTAACTTTCAGTACGGACCCAAAATACCGAGGTTTTTAACTTTTTTGTTTTACCTGCGGGTTCAGGAAAGGTCGAGGGGAGGGGGTGGGGGAAGGATTTCAATTTCCAAACCAACTTTTGAATTTAGCAGGTTGTGAAGTGAAATATGGCGCGCTAAACCGACCAAAATCTTAACGCACAGATTAACTGAGAGATGCCATAATACCTATTATCTCGTGAAACTGCTGTTCCATATCCATAAATGACTCGTGTAACACTGTATCTCTGGTCTTGCTTGGTTTAGACGACTCCAGACTAAAAATTAACATTCACTTTAGCTTAGACACCTGTGTAACACTTCTAACTCTTCCAGCGTTTCATAGAACTCTAGCAAAAACAAGAAGCTACTTTTGTGGTGGAGGAAGTTAATAATGTCACCACGGCGAAGCTTAGGAAAACACCAATTTATGAAAAATAACTTTCACTTTCTGTCAAGAATTGCGTGTTTTCATCGTCGCTAATGGCACCACATCTGACCCACGGCATAACACGTGAAGACAATGTTCAGAGCGAGGTGGAAACAAAGGTAGTTTTCCCCCGAAGTTTCCGCTCTTAAAAGACGGAAAATGTGGGGGATTCAAATTGCCGTGTTGCATAGGACCAATAGATCTGAAAACGCACGTGCAAAGGTATTTTTCTGCCAAATAAATCGCTAGCTGCAATCACCGTTCCTTACCGAAGACTTTCTTCCAAGAGTAGATAAAAGCCCATTATGTTCTCTGGCTCTCTTGTTATTAATGCTTGGACAAAGTGTCTCTTTAATTAGTTGAACGATGAGATGGCTAGGAAGTCTGTAAAAGAATACGCACGCGTACTCAAAATACCTGCTTTCACTCTTCGCCTTTGCCGCTTCCTCCTTTGATAAGTTCACCGACTGCGTCCAGAGAGACGGTGGATAAAACGCGTCCAACTCCTCAGGTAAGAAATACACGTCCTGCTCTTCTACGCCTGGGTCCGAATGTAGTAGGGTGAAGCGAAAGTTTACGCATGCGTCCAGCACGAGTGGCCAGGGAACTTGAGATGCAGATAACCAAGGACTGGCCAACGGTAAGTCGATACCGTTCAATGCTCGCTGGGTGCGTGCGAGAATCCACTTGACCCTCAAAGTAACATCGAATAACTCAGAAACCTAGAAAGTAGCCTACAAAACAGTCGTATTTATTTGCGTTTACTGAGGGGGAAATGAAGGGTTGTGAATACCTCAACACTGCGAAATATAATCGAACAAACACCGCATCATCGCAAGAAACATTAACAACAACCGACACCGCGGTAGAAGTCTCAGGATTTTCCAGCTCTGGTTTCAATCATCTTTACCACGCACGGGTCTTTGGCTGGCCGATAGTGCGTGTGGTAGAGGTCCAGGGGTCAAGTAAATCATTAGCGAACACGGTCTGGGGTTAATCAGCTAATGTTTATTTAATATTAACTCAGATGTATTGCTTATTTTGTTCTACAAATAACCATGTGTTATCAAAATCGAGTTTTAAAAAGGGTTAAAAGATAAACTGCAACATCGAAAATGATTTATTTCACCGAATACCATCGGTTTGAAATTATAACCAAAGTACAGCGTAAGGTTTGAGACTACCGCATCGCCATGCGAGTTGTTCTTCACCGCAATATTGCTTTAAAAGAAGGTCAACACTGGAACACCGCCAACCCCAAAGTCCCCCTCGGTTACTGGCAAACAGAGACAAGCGCTGGACGAGCGCGATAGGGGAGGGGAGGGTAGGAGCTCCTCCCCTTGCGTGTAACTCGCCCTTTGCGAGTCCTGTTCTGCAGGGTTCCTATCAAACTTACCTGCTTAACAGGCTGGCGGTGTTTGGTGACAAACTTCGAGCGTATTCCAGACACAAACTTCTTTCAGACTCCCATGTGCCTGGAAAATAAACAGACTATCTATGAAGGTGTGTCTTGGAAAAGCTTAAAGGGAGCATGCCGGTAGACCCCTCTATGAGGGAGTCTCGCTCGAGGAAGTATTCACGCTGGAGAGCGAGTCAGTTGTCGAGCTCGCTTCGCAATGGACGTCTTTCGCTGAACAACAGAAATATAATTATTCCAAAGACGAAGAAAACTTTTCTTACCATCAACAGCCGCTGGTGGAGGTGGAGGCAGTTTTAATGAAATAATAAGGGTATTCATTCTTTGTAAGTTCTCGTAACTGTTCCATGTGACATCTGGTACAGCTGCTAAAAAGAAAGCAAAACACTTTGAAGATTTTTGCTAGTGTCTTCTTCTTTTTGTTTATTGTAATTTCCTTTCCTTCTTTTTAAATTTGCTTCTCTTCTTTTTAAATTTCCTTTTCTTCTTTTTAAATTTCCTTTCGAGAAGGAGATATTCTGTCCGGGTAACAAAGCACTTCAATGAGGCGTCATTAATAAACAGGAAATAAGACGAGGCCTTGCTCCTTGCCCCTTTGGGAAATGCAAAGCTATTATTCGATTAGGAGAGGGGGAACCAAATTCAAAGTACTCAAGTCGACCAATTCGAACTATTTTAGTGTCCACCATTTGCCCATGGTTGTACGCTGCTGACGTGAGCAAATGCAAAGACTAATTTCCGCGAGCTTGTTTATTTTTTGGTCACGTAATATTTGCTAAATAAAAGGGAACTCTTTTGCGACAATGTATCAATGTTCCGTTATAAAACAAATGATAAACACCACAGCATACACTATTGAGTCGTGGAAGCACTTGGGAGGTTTGCTAAGCACTCAAGATGTTAGAGTCGCTCTCAGCGACCATTACGCATCTCTCGTGCTTAGCAACCCCCCGCATGCATCCATAACTCAATAGTGTATGCTGTGGTGTTTACCATTTGTCAAATTGTGGTTGGTTTTGTATCTAATTGGTTGTAGAGATGGCGAGGGTTTTCCAGGCCTATCATAAAGCTTCTTTGAGCAAAATAAATGTAATATAAACATATAAAAGAAAAGTTGAAAGCTCTCAAAATCAATGGCTGAATAGAAATAATCCACCCTCACCATGCTTTCTGTTTTCTTTATCGCTAAATTCTTTTATCGGCCAAGACATATTTTGTAAACTCCTCAATGAAGCAACGGCTCCTAAATGTTCCAACGCACTGTTGTATAGCTCAACGATAGCTTCCGGGCACTAAAAAAAAAAGGAAAACGAAACGAGATAATTAAAAAGCAACTTGACAACAAGGTCCATCATAGTTAGTAGAGGGGAACTAACTATGGGTCCATTAATAAATTTATGGATAAATGTCAGAGTCTGACACACACTCACCCCTCACCTAACCCAAACTTAATCTTAACCACGAAGGCGCGCTATATAAAGAAGTCTTCCCTCGGAAGACCTAGGCTCATTTGTCACTCACCGTTGACGTGTGCGGGTTAAACTCAAATGCTGGTAGAGGAACAAAAGGAACTAATAAAATATCTATTGTTTACTTCCACCAGCATGGTGGCATGAGGTAACGTGCGAACCACCTACTTCGATCTCAAATTTACCGCCACAAATAAAGACAGTTTCCATTAGAGAAAGGAAATACAAATCTCAAAAATTCTTGTATTGTGATGAAGACATAAAACAATTTTAAGGAATGCGCCCGCTGTTCACTGCTTTGGAGTAGCTGTAGCTCAAGCTGACTTGACTCTAAGAGTTCTACATCACACGACGGTTGATTGACAAATGGTCCTTTGGGACCTAAGGCTCCTTTTATAGCGCGCCTTCGTGTTTAACATGTTATCAGTTGACTGTTATTGGGTTAAGGGAGGGGTAAGTGGCAGTTGCTCAGATACTAACATGATCCCATGAAGTGGGATGAGGTTGCCCGTACCTACGAGCCAGCGGCTTATGTATGAAAAGCATGAGAAATTATTTTATAAGTACCTGTTGTTCTAATTTGGCTTCTCTTCTGACAAACACATCCTCGGCCAGTGGCGTCGTGAAGAATCGCTGAAGACCTGAAAAAAATTACAAACCTAACTTTCACTCATTGAAAAGGAAAGCTGATGTATAGTGGAGAGGGTATGCACGCTCGGAGGAAGAGATTAATGGCTTTCATTACAAAATTAACAATTTATTATTCTAGCAAAGTTTAACATTAATAAAAATGGTTAGACCATTGAAAAATTCTTCATTTAGTTGTTTTCCTTTTCAGTTCTGTTTATCGACATTTTTACACCATATTTCTCTTGCAACTTTACTATGTCCTTAAACTGATGGTGCAGGTTCGTCTCGAGAAAGGTTATCCGACTTCAAATTTTGGTTTTTTTTTTGGGTAGCTCCAGGTGGTTACGATGTTATCAACTTTTTAACGTCATTTAAGTTAACAACGCCACTGACTGAACGAAGTCGTTTTAAAAATCGAGGTCGTGATTCTTTTGACGTCATTTACAAAATGACGTCAATTAAATTGACGACACCATTAACTGAATTAAATGATTAATGACGTCACTGAACTTATGATGTCACGAATAACAAACTCAATGGCACTGTTAGTTTTCTTTGTGCGATAATCAAACGGCAATAAATGCTGTTTTCAAACGCAAAACTACGAGGAAAAACACACGTATGCGCAGGTAAGTGATGCATAGACTAGATGTAATACCAATGGCCGGTTGGTACGGTATTCCTTTGTATCTTGTGTTCAAAAAGCTGTCTTGAGATGATTTGGAGAATCATTGTTTTGCTCGTGCAGATATTTGCAAAGAGATATTCTTTCTCCCCTGCTAATTGTCAAACCCTCGACTTTGGCGAGTGTACGGGCGCCAACTCGACTGATTCTAAAGTCACGGTACTTACCATTTTCAATGAAGTTTACTATGTTGTCCGCTCTTGGAAGACTACATCGAGCCATGTGACTTCCTAACCAACTCACTGCTGAGCAAAGCTATGCACAGAACAATTTTGTAACCATTAATCAAAAGGTATTATGGTCTAAGCACCACTAATCTTTCATCAGTGACCACAAGTTCTCTAAAGCGACAGTTCTAAGCTTATTGCTTTGGTTGAAAGACTTTCTCAAAATTTCTCAATTTTGTACCCTTTCACACTTGGGAGTGGTCTTGTGCTGTATTCTCCTAACAATTTTCAAAATTGATAAGCAGGAGGCAAACGAGAATTTTTACCTCTTAAAAGAAGATAAACATAGTGGGGATGAATATTGCCTTGATATAACTTCAAACTCTCATTAACAGCCAACAAAGAAATATGAAGTGACTTAAAGGGAGAAGTAGCTTTCACATATTGCCGATGAAAAAGATGGTATGCTCTGCCACCTGAGCTGAAGAGAACTGGTTGGTAAGTAAGGCCATCAGGAGGGCATTTCAATTCACTACCGTAAAACCAAAACCAAGTATTGAACCGGCCAACAGAGCAGAGGAAAATACCGCGATGAACCAATTAGAACTCGAAAAACAAGCAAACTGTCTGAAACGCGGGAAAATACAGGCGACAACTGAACGGTTGATTATAGTTTTTAATCTGATTAGTTGAGGGAGTAGCGCGAGCTTTCTTGATCAATCGTTCAGCAAAGTAAAGCAAAACTAACTGCAGTCCCAGATTAAGTTCATATAGGCCTCGCGCGTTCTGTTACGATCAGCAGTTATACCAGTGTTCAGAGAAGTGTGATAGCATAAATAAAATGGTAACTTCTAATTCCAATTGTCAAATTCGCAAAGGCAACAAAGATAAAATTTGTAATTACAAGAACTCTTTGAAGCTGATCATGAGTAAAGTCAAACCTCTCAGATACCTTTGGTGACAGATCATCCCGGTGGCCTGGGAGCGAGCTGACTGTGGAGAGTTTGCACTCTGATAGTAGACCGTCTGTTCTTAGCTGCTGTACACCGAGAAGGGATAACACATCTCCTGGAACAAAGAGGATAGAGATTTTACTACCGATAAATTTGAGAAGCCAAAACTTTTTACCCTGAGAACTGAGGTGAGCCAAAATTGATTTTTGTTGAACGTAAACTCGCGGCTTTTCATGTGTATCTGAAGACGCCTTTTTTCATGGAAACAACATCACTATATCTATCATTTCAAGGTCATCTCAAGCCTCCGTTTAGACCAATATTGAATAACTTTTCACGTGGCTGTAATATGCTTTTAAAAGTGTCTCTTCTCTCTTCCCCCTTTTTTCCCACCAATTATACGTCTTGTAAGAGATTTCTTATTCACCGGGCTGGAGGTCCGTGCGGGAAAATAGTTTTTTTCCCCACACGGATCAACCTAGACCAGTTAATAACTTACTTTTCAGCTTTGCTGCCAATGGCGCAGATAAAATTCTAGACCGTGGTCCGTACTGTAAAAAGCTGGACCGTTTTAAGAACGCACGAGTAGCCAATCAAATTAAAGGTTTAAGATACTGGCCCGCTGAGATGCTTCAGCGAAAAATAAAAATGGTTACTGAGCCTACTGTTTTAGCACGCCTCTAATCATTTCACGCGTAGGCGAGTAACTTACCTTCGGTTGAGGAATGCTCGTCGTTGTCTATTGCTATCACAGCGACTGGCAGTCTCGGTTCAGGGGGCTTGCTTTCAAGTACACGTCTCAACCGAATGTGAGCTTGTCTGGGGGCCTAAATTGCATGTTACTACATTAGGAGAGCAATTCTCAAAACATTTAAACCAAGATCACATAGCTACAAAGACTAAAAATCAGTGAAAGATACGTGCGTATTATCCAACCGTAAGGGTAGGCTACACACATACCGTAATTATTCAATTAGGCATTTTGGGCGCTTATTAAAATTATGTACTTTGAGAGTTGACGCCCATGAAATTTCACCATTTTCAGTAACTAGTAAGTTTATTTTGCGTCAAACCAATATATTAAAAAAAAAAAAATACGAAGATGTACCGTAGACATTGAAATGTAGAGATTATAAGCCAGTAAAGATATAATAATCAAGACTTCTTTTGTCCGCTTTAGTTTTTCTTTTAAACTTTGCAATTTCTTTCCGTTTTCCTTGGTGCTGATTTGCTAAGACTATTGATAGGAACTTCCCACCACTGGCAGGGTTCAAAAGCGACTTCAGTGCACAGATCATTTGTTCCGTGCAAAAGAATGCTTTGACTCCACTGTATAAATTTCATTTTGAAAAATTCTTCATTAACAAGAGCACTCCTTTCATTGACATTGTTGCGTGACACTTTGAAGTTCATTTTACCTCTGGATTGCGCATAAGTTCTTTTCCGTCAACAACGAAGATGACCGCGCAAGATCCCAAAAACTGCCGCGTATCTATAGCTTCTCTTACTTCTGTGCTCGTTAAAACACCATAGCAGGCCTGCAAAAAAAAGAAACAAAACAAAACAAAACAATCGAATATAACATCGAAAATTCTCTCTGTCTCCGTAATTAATCACAATCTTGCCATCTTATCAGCTTATCAGAAGAACACCGATTTCGCCAGTTTTAAGAATCTCGGCACTCTCTCTCATCAACAAAAGTTTTCACGTATAATCACCCGCACACGCGCAGACGCGAACACGCTCACGCACGCACGCACACGCACACCCGCACACAGGCAAATTGCTTGCAAGAAAAGAAAGAGTAAAAAAAAGAGCCAAAGTAAAGACGGTAGTAACTAGCCTAAAAATTAACTTCAAATTACTAAAATTCATTAACAAAGAGTAAAGTCACAATTGAAGATGGCTCTTAAATTTAGTTTTCTTTTTCACTGACCTTAGTGCAAATTTTAAGTAATCTTTTCTGTAAAGGAATTCCACGGACTTCCGCACCATAGAGTGCTAACAAATCAATCTAACGGAGGGGAAAATAACGTTACATTAAATAAACAGAAAAAAAAGGACAAAGTTAACCTGCTCTACCAGGCCTAACCCGTCGTGGCTGTAACTGCAAGAACTATCAAATTCTGATGCAGATAAAGTTATTTCTACTAAATACAAAAAACCAAAGTAAATTACAACTTTCCTTTTGTATCTCCTCTCTACATATATGATGACTTAAAATGCTACATCACAATGATTTATTAAACAAACCAGGCGCGACAGGGGCTGGTCCCACGCATTTTCCCGCGCCTTACAAGAGTCACGTGTTTTAGCTTCAGTTCAGTATTCATTGGTTAATCACACTTCCATTATTCATTTACAGTAAAAAACTAAATCAAGGAGCAGAAAATTTAAGAACTTACTTTTCTCTTAAGTCCCTGAGGAATGTTGTCACTGACCGGATACAATCCTCTTTTAAACTTTTCCTTGATTATATAACAGACGNGTGAGGCACGCGGAACTGCGTTGATTCGTACTCAACACTTCCCACAACTTTATGGTACTCCAGTATTTGTTGTTCTTTGTTCCACTGTAAATATTATACGTTCAAAAACTTTCGCTGGCAGTGAAATATATTCTGAGGTGGAAAGTTTTGCTGATCCTGAGAATAGGAATACCTATTACTTGCAAGCTCATCAGAATAACTACACCTCCTTTAATCTCGTTTGTTCCTTTAAATTTTTTTTACCGAAGCGAAGTGGTCGCCATTTGTATCTATGCGTTTCTTCCACGCGTTTGTCAATAGATACACCATTGTAAATACCTGCTGTACTCCACATCTGTTTGTCTTTTTTTGATTGCATCGTGGATTTCCCTTTCATGAGCATCACTTCTGAGGTAAATTCAATTGCAACTAATGTTAGATGGAAGCTCGACAAGTATCAGGCAAGATAGGTCTCAAAGAACAAAGAGAGATTGACATTTACCGTAGGACGGCCATGGCGATGTCCCGTTTCCTGTGTCCCACAAGGTGCTGAAGTTGATTGTCGATGTTGAGCATGGGAGGTCCAGGAGGAAACGAGCCTAAAAGTTCCTTTAGATGCACACTGGCGCGGAATGCTTTGAACCACCTTGAAGAAGAAACAACTTATAAGTGACGTCTTTCACAAAATTTACCAAGATCATTAAATGGCGTCAAATCCATCATTTCTTAAGAGACAAGTTGAGTTTTGAAAACGGTCCAAGTGACCTCCAGCGATAAACCATACTTTTGTTTCAGGATGTGATTGACAGTACAACTAGTCACTTGGTACAAGAGATTCAGACTCGTATGCACCAGCGTGTCTCTAATCAGTGAGTAAGAGTTCTCTAAAGTGACAGTCCTTAGCTCATTGTTTTGGTTGAAAGGCTTTCCTCGAAATTCCTCCTTTTTTTACCTTTCACAGGAGTGATCTTTTGCTGTATTCTCCACACAATTGTCATACATTGATGGACAAGATAACGAGAATTTTAACTTCTTAAAAGATTAACTCAATGGGGATAATATTGCCTGAACATCACTTCAAATTCTCATGAACAGCTAACAAAGAAATATGAGGTGACTTAAAGGAAGAAGTAGCTTTCACATATTGCGAATGAAAAAGATGGAATACTCTGCCACCTGTCAGGGCTCGACACTAAGAGTGTCTACTAGCCAGAGACTAGTAGAAATTCAGTTTTGGCTAGTGGTTTTCGATTTTCACGGGCCAGTTTGGCTAGTGAATATACTGAAATTGTTGTAACATCTAAGTTGTCCCTTGCCACTCGGCTAGTAAGTTGAAAAGTTCGTGTCGAGCCCTGCCTGAGCTGAAGAGAACTCTTTGGGAAGCAGGGCTGTTTGGAGCGCATTTCAATTCGCTGTCGTAAAACCAAAACCAAACTAATCAAACCGGCCGACAGTGCGAAGGAAAATACTGGTTATTGGGTACGAGAGATTCAGACATGCACGCACTAGCGTGTCTGAAATATTAGCACGTCCTGAGCGCCTTGCCGTGCATGCTAAGGGAAACATCGAGAAGTTCGTTATCCAAGCACGTGTCACGGTTGATTCATTTTGGCAACACCTGTAGCTTTGAGAAACATTGGAAAAAACAAAAATGTTCGCCTTTGCCCCATCCCCCAGATATAGAAACAAAAGACTATGGCACGACATTAGGGAAGAGCCAAACCTAGTAGGGGAGGCAGGGGATAAAGCGTTGGATCCACCTTTAATGCAATTAAATCTCCACAGATCTAAACGGAGCGAGTGTGCACACACCTTTTGAAATATTTTGCAGTTCTGCTTCTTTTGACATAGCCGGCCAATAACTGCAACTTAGCGTCTCTCTCTGCCTTTGCCTCCTGGAAGACCTCCTCAGCAATTTCTTCTAATTCATTCGATATTTTTTCCTCGATCAATGACTGGCAAATCTCTTTTGATACTCTTTCTCTGGCCAACTTCAGAAGCTCCAACCGCACTTCTCTGGAACAAATAAACAGACATTTTAGAGAATGTTGAGTGAAAAAAACTGTAATACACCTCTTACCACAGCTCGATGCAAACGTAAGAGGAATTAGTCGGAACTTTACCACCAGCTCTAGCCAACCTCTCACTTCCACAAAAATTTCTGCAAAGGCATATTTTGACTAAAGAGAACAAAAACCTGCTGGCTAGCGCGCTTGATTCTGTACCAGGAGTGCTGGGTTCCAGCACTTGCCGTGTTATTACGGACCTATTGCGTCGCGATCCAAATCAAGACCCTAAACTCTCCTCATGCCTCTCTCTACCCAGGAGAAAGGCACAGGGACACCTGATAAATTGGCGATTCGAGGGGGAACTAGCATCCTATCCAGGGAAGTAGTAGTACTCATAGACGCTTTATGAAACCGAAACCAGGATAAGCAATGAATATTTGAGTCACAGGATTGGTAAACTGACCTATTACTCTCCATACTTCCTAATAAATAAACCTTTCAAATCCACATCTTGTCTGCTTTTGGTTTGGTTTCGCTACTTCGTTGTTATTTTGGTTGTATTTGTTGTTTAGTTTTATTTTTCTATTTTTTTTGTCTTTTGCCTTTTTTTCTTTTTCCTTCGTAGTGTCAACTGATAACAGGTAACTGACGACAAGTTAGGGTTAATATTGAGTTTGGGAGGGGTGGGTGCGCAGTTGGTCAGATACTGAAATCAATCCTTAAAAATGAGCTTTATCATACCGTATAACTTCCTCCACAATCCTTGTACATTCAAGGGAGATGAACTCCTCTGTGAAGTCATTGTTGATGTTACGTAGTACTCGCTCTCGGATGACCGCGTTTTCCTCAACAATTCTGTGGAGAGTTTAAACATAAATGAGATCGACTGTAACCTTTTCTAGTAGAACTTTCAAGTGCTACTTTTATTCACCCGAGTTAGCAAATACCTTTTTCGATCGAGTTCCTCAGTTGACACTGAATCTGCTGTCTCTCTTATGAACTTTGATATCGTCTCTTCGTGAAGCGTATTTGTAATCTCCGTGGACAATCGAAGGTCAACATGTACCTGAGAAAGAAAGAAAGTGATATACTATGTCTAGAAAACAGATAAGGTGCACCTTCAAATTAAGGAAAAAATGTGTTACAGTTCTTTCTGACAGAAAGCTTTAGGTATTCTTATTATTCAGGCAAACGGAGGCAAGCGCGAGGCGTGTGTCACGTGCAAGACGTGTGTCACGTGCGAGGTTAGGAGCCTCGATCGTCCGAAAAGTGATGGACAGATAGATAGATGTTTGGTTTATTTAGGCCTCATGCAGTATAAATAACTGAATTACAGGTTTGGCCAGCAAAGAATAATGAAGCATTAACAAAGTTTATATCTGAGGAAAAATTGATTGCATTAGCAACTAACAAGCATATGTGGCAAAACTAGTCAGGTGCACTTCACGTAGCGTATTTGTTTGAGATAAAGTGCTTAAACCTGATGATTGAAGTCATTAGTGTCGCAGATATTTGGATAACACGGGTGTAACAGTAGACAGCCACCTTCAGTGGTAGTTTATACGCTAAATTCAGCCACATGAGTGAAGCGAGGCTAAGTAAAGATGGCTAGTTACGTAGAAATACACAGAGCTAAAAGTTAGCTCGTGGCAGCAATGAGGCACTGCTGACCCATCCTCTGCTACAGGTTTTCAAAGAGAAGGCAAAATGATCACCTTGTCCATGGCTTCCTTTGTAATTTCTGTACACATTTCATTCATCACTTCCACAAACAGTCTCTTGGTGAAATTCAATATTTCCAGCAATAGACAATCAACTTTTGATCATGCATTGAATCTGCCAAGGGGTGAAGGCGGCCTTCACAACTAACGCTCTTTTTAAGGCTGGATTCCGTGCATGAATAGGGACCTTAAGCAGTCAGGACGGTAACACCAAGGAAGACTTCGATTAAAAAATGAATTCCTACTCTTAGTTAGAATTTTAAAGATGGCTGCATGAGCTTACTGTCTTATACGACGCCACAGCTCAACTTCAGCATGACGTATAAAAGCAGCGTTGAGTTCCAAATGGAAATTAAAATAATTTGCCGTCGCGGTTTCGGTTCGCAGACGACGCAAATTTTGACGATTTTACGTTGTTGTTTTGCATAGGACGGCTAAGAAATGTTTCAAAATGCACGTGCTGAGCTATTGTTCTGCCAATTAGATCTCTTGTTTTTCCACGTCCTCGTTGCCGTCGCCGTCGTGGTTGCTTAAGGTCCCTATTATAATCGTCACGACCGCTACAACGGTGTTTCATTCCCAAGATCTCACTCGTAATTCTCCCTACTGTCTGCCATAGAATTCTTATGATGTCAGGGCGGAGAATTTAGTATCGGATCAACTTATAATCCCCTGATTGATATTTTTCTTTATTCTTATTTCTTGTTTGCTTGATATTGTACTAACATTGTAAGGAGAAATTCTGTTTTGGTCATTCTTAGGAGTGAGAAGGTAATTAAAAGCCGGTGACTGGCGGTCTACCATCGCCTGTGAGATCTCTCACCGCCGTCTGTCTGGTCTACGATTCATCGAAACTTTTTCTTTCGTCAAGAACGAAGGACAAAATTTGCCTACGTCAAATACTCGACGAAATCAACAACACCTCTCTTTGATCTGAATCTTTCACTGCAATTCGAAATCAATTGGAACTCTACATGTAACTAACAGCTCATAAGCTCTGTTCACAACTTTTTTTGTATGATGCTGACGTTCAGCAGTGTCAAAAAGGTTTCTTTTTCAGCGATCGTGTCGACAGAAGCCATTATCAGCAGATAAAAACTGTTCGCATTTTCCATAAACTCACCTCTCCAGAGTAAGACACTGCAGCTTTAGCGGGTTCAATCTGAGTGGGCTACAAACGTAAGAATAAACGATAAGTAAGTGCGCGCGAGACGTCACGCACGCGAAACGTCATGCTCGCGAAACGTCGTGCTCCCGAGACATCATGTGTGCGAGACGCCATGCGCGCATTTTTCGATAAAACAAAAAATATCCGAGAAAATTATTATGTCTAATCATATTCATATATCATAGCAAAGACAGCGAATTCGCCTCAGTTCTTTTCAGACCCTGAGTGTTGGTCCAGTCTGGAGAGAGCGGTAAGGCTAAAACCGTCGGCCTGTCGCACGCAGTTTGGCGCTCTACAAGCTGAGCTAAGCAGGCGGCAGCATCAGTCAAATGGTCAAACATAATCTTCTGGCATACCATTGGACAAAAACGCTTGATCGTTTCCTGTGACGAAACTGATGTAGACCTGATTGATTCTCACACTCAGTCGGTCATTGCTCTAAGCCACAGTATACCTGTATTTGCGCTGATGGCCCCTGACCAGTGTCAACACCCAGTTGCACCGATAGTTCGCCGGAAGGCCCCATCGACACCTGTCTGCCAGAGGTGCTGTCTGATACCAGCAAGCGAACAAGTTGTGAAGATTCCGTGGCATTACATGTGGGCTTAGGTTGGTTCGGAACATCTGCCAGTGATGGGAGAGCACTGTCATGGAGGTGGCCAGAAAGCAGCTCCGTCGGGTCAGCGATGTAGTAGCCGTCTTCACTGAAGCTGAGGTCTGGTTGATGCTGCGGGGCGGTTGGAAGTTGTCCGTTGTAAACCACCTAAAGCAACAATAGAATGAAGGGGCAGTTTCTTAAGAAACTGTGGTGCTGCATTGGTGGGGGGGGGGG